TCTTCTCTCCTGGCTGCTTCCCTAGCAACACCGCATTTTCTCAGAAATGTAAATGAGCTTTACCGTTCTTTTCCACCTAGCTACGGGAAATGACACGATCATGAGTGATAAGCTTCCATTTTCCTTAATGTAAGTGAACAAATTGCTGTAAATTGTGAAAAAAACAAAACAAGTGAAAATCGCTAGAATGGCCCCGTAAATCGCCGCGAAAAGTAGCCTGCGGTAATCGGCGCGGCAAGGGAGGAATTCCCACCTCTTACAAGGGAAGGATATCAGGTCGAGTGGCGAACCGAAATGATATATATATCATAATTAGAATGCATCTTGAAAGGCTAATTCCAATCTATCTACCTCTATGCGCTTCTCTTGAAGAAGCTGTGGGCGGTTTAAGGTTTAAACTTGTTAAGGTTTTGAAGCGTAAGGTGCTTTAAAAATCAGCTTGGGAGTGATCAATCGGCATGGTTTTAAGGGCATTGACTACATACAAGGAATGCACACATGGCTACATTAATAAATGCTTTTGGACAAGTAGCTCTTGAAAATGTGGCATAAATGTTTACCAAGTTTGGACATTGGTTCATAACTTCTTTCAGAGAAGAGCTTATCAAATATGGACGAGTTTGGAATCAGCTCATCAAGACGCATCTAACGTTATGCATATCATTCGGTTCGCCACTGCGATCTGCTATCCTTCCCTCCCTTGTTAGTTCCGATTAGAAAAATTTATATTGAACCTAGATTCATACTTACACACTATAAGTTTGAGATATCTTGCAAATATCTATGGAAGTTAAACATGCTATCTAACATTGTTTTCGCCGTATTCCTGCAAAACTATCTCTCGGTCACATCCAATCTTGCTTCTCACGTCACGTGAGCACAGTTGCGAAATCGCCTACAGGATAACAAGCGATGGTAGCTGCGTGCATTCCTCGCTTCACCTTAGCTTTCTCCTTGCTCGTTACTGCGCATCCCTTTTTGGCTTTAAATTCTCGCAAAGCCTCCTTTATCATTCTTTATTGTGAGATTATCCTGTTTGCTAGTGTTGAAATGGTTGCAAATACAAGCGCTTCTGTTTTAGCGGATGCCTCAACATCAGCATTTAGATATCCAGGCGTCATCTCTGCTTCGCAGAGGCTCGCACTTGTTTTACTATCTGTATGCCTTATCCTTTGCATAATGATGGCTTTGAATCATACCGTGCAATGCTGGCCACTACGAACAGATTGTAAACAACGACTTTCCAAAAGCATCTTGATATGAGATGGGTAAACTCGTGTGGAAACTATAGGAAAAAAAAACAAAGGCAAATTGAATAGGTTTCTGATTTTTCGTGTGTTGGTAGTCGCCAGGAGACAGTGATCACCTAGGACAATAATCACGAGTTACAACCCTGTAAATCTCCTCAAGCTCAGGTAGAGCCTTGGCGAAAGACATTCATGCAACCATATTTTTGGCGCTGTTTTCATAGAGTAATAGATTTTTTATTACTTTTTTGGGCCAAAGTCCATGCACATTTATTGTCAAAGATATCCATAACTTCGCAGAAGTTGTGATACGGACCAAGTACGCGAGCCAGAAGCCGAGTGGGTCCGTTTGCGTGCAATTTTCGGACTTGATGATACAAATCCAGCGTTGAGCATATCTCTAATAGGAGCAAATGTAGTTTAGAAGTAATCACGGAGACCCTCACCAGCGACTTTTGTTTCATCAAAATTCATCGCATTACGATTTCTCTTTTTTTTTTTACCATAGGATCTTTCATACCTTCGTGATTTTCTGCGCATCTTTGTCAACTTCACTCATTTTCCGTGATGAATCCCCTTGAAAAAGGAAACATGGGGGTTATAAGAACACCGCAATTTGAAGGCAGTGTCCGGGCAAAAACTCGATTTTGAGATTTTTTGCTTACCCGAGCCTATTCGCTACGCTGAATCCGAAAATGCACATTGGAAAGCGCGAAAATGGCGAAAAACGGTTCTAATACGGGAGGGAAATCAGCAGGTGGGCGGGGTCCACTGTGAATTAATGCTCCCAGTTTCCAGAGCGATCTTCTCGGTTCCGATTTCAAGTCATGCAGTCGCACCTGGCCGATGGAGATCTTAGGGCGCTAGAGGAATTGGGAAGATCGCTCCAGAAGCTGGGACTGCGAAATTACAGTGGGAGGACCCCGCCCACTTTCCATTTCCCTCCTGCGTTAGAGCCCTTTTTTGCCGTTTTTGCGCTTTCCAATGTGAATTTTCGGATTCTGCATAGTGAATAGGCCCGGGTAAGCACAAAATCTCAAAATCAACTTCTTGCCCGGACACTGCCTTTAAATCTCAAATGAGTAGCAACTTATTCTTCATTATGTTCATGCAAAAATACTTGCAAGAAAACCAGCAATGGAAAGTTTGGATCTTTGTAGTACTGATTGTGAGGTGTAAAACTTTCCTCGCTTTCCTCCTCCACATTAGCAGGCGGAGCGTGCGTACGCGCTGTAGGGCCGCATGTTCACCCCCCCCCCCCCTGGGGAAGTAAGGGTAAAAAAAAGCTTCATTTTTTAAAGCTCTGCACTTCTGGATCTCTAGCTGTCTATCCATCCACTGGTGTTTCTACTTGGGAGTTACGAACGTTCAAATATGAGAAATTTTTGAGTTTCGACGAATATAATTCTTTGAAAGGCAGCCTGATGGCGAGGGTCCACGGGGGCTATGGCTATTGACTACAGAAGAAGTACATCCACCAAAAACCCAAATAAGTGTTTTGAAACCTATTTCGTGGAACATGCGCCATAGAACACTTGACAAATTGCACATTCAAACGCTCATAAACCTCCCAGATAGTCGCTTGGCAGGTAGTAGATATCGTCGTCTCCCCGCGATAGATGGGGCGTGTCGTCTGCAAAGTCCGTAGATGTGCGTGTTTCGTACGGTTCTAGCCGGCGTGGCTTTGCCAACGTTGCCAACGTATGCGCGTGGCAGTTTTTGGCAGGTTAGGAAGTACGAAAACTAATGTTATATGATGAAGATTTAACAGGTGTTTAGACGTGGCATGTATATACATGCTACGCCATGGCTAATACCGTACGAAATACGCACTTCTACGGACTTTGCAGACGACACACCCCATCTATCGCGGGGAGACGACGATATATGAGCGGCTCCACAACTTTGGCGAGGCGGAGCTGCGCTAGCGTGCCTTGCGTTGCGGTTGCCCTGTGCTGAGGCATACCTGATCCATCGATCTTTGGTGAAGATCACGATCACGCCTCGCCAAAGTTGGGGAGTCGACAATACATTAGTGATCAGCGTTTCGAGGCGAGCCCGATGATATATAGCATGTTTGGTATGGCTGTGTTAAAGGCAGTGTCCGGGCAAGGTAGGGGTTTTGGGATTTCAGTGCCACGCGAGAGTGGCCACTCTCAGACACAACATCGCGCAAGTGCGACGTCATACGCTCGACTCAAAGCAAAAACGACCGGAAAGTGGGGAAACTTATGTTTTGGGGCGGGGTCCTCCACTGTTTTGAATTCCTGCTCTGCAGCAGAGTACGGCCGCCACTGTTGGCGACTCTGCACAGCTGGGGACCGTCGAACTTCAATGCTAACGTATGTTTTCGCCGTTTTCGCGCCTTCTAATGCGGGTTTATGGATTCAGCGTTGCGGATACCCCCGGTAAGTGGATTTTCTAGAAATCGAGTTTTTGCCCGGACACTGCCTTCAAAGTTCTGACCATTTCCTGCTTAGCACAACTGGTTTAGAATAATAAGTGCGAATTTGGGATGTTTTAATTTACTTCAAAAAAGTAAATTAAAGGGATTCAAAGAAAAGATGGTCGGGCGCAGGGAATCATCACTGGATCATGCAAAGATCTGCAAAATGCTGTCGTAAATTTCTTGCTCCTGTTCAATATGCTCGTGGTAAAGGGTAGTAGAAACACTTCGGATAAGTAGACAGATATAAATCCAAATATCCGGAGCTTCAAACTAAACTTTTCTGAAGCACCCTTCCCCAGTGGGGACGTTGGTGCATGTGGACTTCAATTGCTCAGCCCGCAGCTGTCATCTTAGTAGCCGTTATCTCATTGTTAGTAATATTTGAATCGAAGTATTAGGTGGGTTCAAAAGTTCGTTCGCCAGTTTTCCAAAGATCAAAACTTCTTTTCTTCTCAATGGATTTTTTTTTATCAAGTTTGAATGAGGAAACCATCCCCTTTACAGCGTACCTTTGGTATAAATTAGTATGAGATTATTTGAGTTAGGAACAATTGATTTACTCAAGATCGGCGTTCTTCAAGCAGGGTGGCGAAATTCTGTAACTATTTTTGTTTGAAAGAGAAAGCTTTGCATATTACAGGGACACCTTCCCATGAAATAACATGAGTTACAAGTTAGAAGCGGATGAAGAGAATTATTTCGGTTTTGCAATTTTTGAGAGTGATAATAAAAACCTAAAAACGTCACAGTTATAAACATAGGTTTTGTGACCTGCTCTTTCTATATGAGCAAGATTCGTGCTAATCGAGAGCAGGTTGGTTTTTGGGGAAATGCAGCCACAAAACCCGGAAATCCCACAAAAAAATGTCGATTAGCGCGAATTTTGTTCAGATAGAGAAAATCACAGGCCCCATGTTTATGACTGTAGGTCTTTGCTGTGACGTTTTTTTTTTTGAGCATGCTGAGAGATTGCAAGACAGCTAATTCTCTTTATTCGCTTACTCATGAACTATATTATTCTAATTTATGGCAAAGGTACCACTGTTTGTGCATACTTTCAAATTTTTTCGCGATCCTGCTTGAAAAATGGCAATAGCAGTTTCCTTTAATTGTTCTAGCTCTTGATTACACTAATTTATGGCGGAGGTACTGCTGTAAAGGGCACGATTTCATTTTTAAAACAAAAATAATTTTGAGACTTTTATATATAAGGGAGGAAGTTACGATTTTTAAAAAACTGGCAAAGAACTTTTGAATCCACCTAACATATACGTTGGCTCCCGACTTTCTCACTACAAACGTTGCAGGTGAAATGAGTGGCGCAGAAGCGCTTGAGTTCCGATATTGGAACGAGCTACCAGACCATTTGAAGATGAATGTCCTACATTACCTACCTTTCCCTACTCTTCGCCATTTTATGTTTCTGAATAGGAAATCCTATTCTCTAGCATCTGTGGTGAAATCGAAGGTGTTGGTCGTTCGTTTGGTGGACTCTCCCTATGTGCGAGAAGTAGGTTTATGCAGTCTAATGTCTGTATAGTGTCTTGGAACTCAAATATGGTACAGTTAGCCGTACGGAATCGACCGGACTGAACGCTCGCTTGCGTGTCTCTTGCGGGCTAACATTGGCACTCGCGCGCATGAGTCATCATAGCGCCAGTACTCGGCGGCCGCGTTGCAGGCACGCTCGTGTAGGTTCAGCCTACAGCGACCCGGGCGATTTCGTGCAGTTGACTCTAAAGGATCTACAACTGTTCGAGTTCCGCACATGCATTACCATCCGATAATTTTTACTCACTAATAATGTCTTGGTAAAGGTGGTTTTGAATGCTAAAATTCCATTCCCTTTCATGTTAGTTTCGTAGTATAGCAAACTGCCTTTTCAACCTATTGACTATTGTCTAAGATCGTTTTTCTAGTAATGGTTTTATATCTCTGAGTTCTTTCTTTCTTTTATTTTACAATGAGTATCGCCTAGACTTCCTGACTAGTCAAAGGTGCACTTATTGTGCAATAAATTTTCAAAAGTAAACAAGTTACTTTTACACTTTTTCAGCTCATGTGAGGATTCCTTCATACTACGCCACAGGAAGCAGCAGCCTGCCGCAGCACGCAGCAGCATGCCGCGCCCTGCGGCGTGCGTCGTTGCAGTCGCAGTGAAAATATAAGCTCGCTCGCTGTGAAGGAAGCTCTCGGAGAACAAGAACGTGCAGCAAATATATTATAGATGTACATCTATAACCGGCGAAACTGTGCTGCCGTGAGCGTATATTTTCACTGCGAATTCAGCGGCGCACGTCGCAGGACGCGGCGTGCTGCGGCAGGCTGCGGCGTAGTATGAAGGAACCCTAAGTAACTTCCAAAAAATTCGCGACCCTCTTCGTGAGGGGGGGGGGGGGAGAGAAGTGCGCGACCGCATTGATTTGAATGCACGAGTCGTCATTGAATATCCCACTCAGTAGAAGAGCATTTGGACAACTAAAAGCAATCAAATTAACCTCATTTCAGACTTCATCGGAAGAATCTATAATAAAACTGCTCATTATCTGGAGCAGGTCCTCTACGAAGAAAGGACTTAACCAGGACAATGCATACTGTATGTCATTCGTGGATGACGGCAAAGGAGGATGTTTTCTCAAAAGACTCAGGTTTTTAACGTTACTTTTTGTAAAAGCGTAATAGTTGGTAGGATGGCATTGAACTGCAATCCTTCGTAACTTCTCTCTTTTTCTGTGGCGCAGTCAAATTCTGGACGTATGTAAGTTGTGTTGCTAGGTACAAATATATACACGGTCTCTTTGAGTTTTTGAAAAAGAATAGTAAAATGTACTTATTTTTACTAAGAAATGTGGAGTTCGAGCTTTCTCGGTTTTGGAGCAAAATGAAGCCGTGCACTATGAATCAAGCACGCACATGGAGCCGAACTTTAGTCAAAGTTGCTAGAGTTTGATACTAAGCTCAATGGAAACAATATTGTAAGCTAAACGCAATTTGAGATCTGGACGACCCTGCCTCGGATTCCGTCATTTTGTTTTATGGGCCCTTTGAGTTTACGGAAAAATTTGAGAATTTTACCAGCAAGTTGAGATCTGGCGCTCTCGAGAATTCGAACGAGTACGACCCTGCCTCGGATTCCGTCATTGCCAAAGAGCCTGGTAATTAAAACAGAACATTGTATTGGGGGATAACTTGTGCGGAACACGAATACTATACTTGACTGTTAGGGTCTGAGCTCATGACTCCGTTTTTCCATAAACTCAAGGGGCCCATAAAACAAAATGGGTTTATTTCCGTGATAAATCATGAAGTAAGCGCCGCAATAGAGTTTAATAGTAACAATTTGCATCAGGTTGGTGCAAAAATAATGTTTTTCTGGCCCTAATTTCCGCTTTTTGTTTCATCAAACTTTCTTATAGATTTTGCATATCATTGGAAAGCTTTTCCAGGTATTTTTTAACAGTTGTGCAATTAGGCTCTTCTCCTTCATATGTGAGAATTTTACCAGCAAGTTGAGATCTGGCGAGAGCTACACCCAAAATCGAGATTTTGCTTTCACTTTCTTGGCCACAGTTCAGACGCAGATGGCTTCATTTGAAAACATAGCTTAATGAGTCAATTATTGTTTAACTATTGCCTGCTTGAATGGATCTCGATAACATATAGAGTGAGAAACGTTATTCTTAAAACAGATAATCGCTGTTGTGTTCTGTGGTTCAAAAATTTCTCGAGTTCAAAGTGATCGCCGAAGGTTCGCTTACTTCCGTAATCTCAAGAATAGGACATCTTGCCTACAACTTCAAAAAAAAATAGCAGTTCAGTGCACGAAGATTTTTTACAAATTTTCATATTTGAGACTTTCAGGCTTACCATGAATAGGCTCAAAAATTTGGAATTTCAACTTTTTTTGGCTTTGCGACATCAGTATGAGCAGGTGTATGCTAAGTTACGAAAGGTTTACTGCTTTTGATGGTCTTTATTCTATCCAAAAATGAAGAGTGGAAAAAAGTTGTAGCTTTTAAAAGTGGGACTTTGCAAAACAAACATTACCCTAGCACAATTTGTAACTTGCTCTTTCATAAATAGTCCTTCTATACTCTTGAGGACCCTTGATTGCAATAAGAGCATTTGACTGACTGCATTTGGGGCTTATAGCGTAATCTGTGTAATACCGAGAAATGATGCGTCATAAAAAGAAGAGAGTTATGGAGAAAGTTGCAAAACTTAGTCGCCACTCTAACAAGGAAAGGAATGTTAGCCGAAGTGGCCTTTTGTTATGAGAAGGATAGTGCTTTAGAGGGTATGAAACTGATTTCAAATCTATTTTCCTCATCTGCTGCGGATTTCTAAACGAGGACTTACGAAAATCTTTATAAGCAAAAAATTTGCATGTGCAGTTGGAAAAGTTAGTCATAATAATTTTCCCACGGCTTGAATAATCTTTTGGTCACTCTTTGCAATATATATTTTCAATTCAAACATATCCACTTCACTCTGTCATTGGAAACTAGGGAAAGTCAACGACTGATTTTACATTGATCATGCACTAAGGCCCGTATGCACGTACATCCCCGCTGGGGAGGGGAGGGGATCTGAGAGGGGATGCGTCATATCTCGCTAGTCTATGTATCTTTCTTCTTCTTTCTCCGTCTTGCTTTTGAAGGTTCTCATACACTGATACTTGCGCATAACGGATGCCAGGTTACTGCCATACAACATTAGATATTCACTATTTCGTCTGATCCCCAGGGGATCCCAAGGGGATCACTTCACATTTTCAAAGTTATTTATCTTCCTGAAAACTCGATGAAAGTGCTCCAAAATTGTACTGAGGATATACTACGGCACTGCTAAGCATGTTTAAAGTAAAAAGAAGTGAAATCTCAGGACATCGAAATCTTCGTTAATCCCTGGCTCAAAAGCTAGGGATCATCGAAAAATTCACAATCTTCAGATTCCATTTTTTCTGTCGAAAACATGCTTAGCAGTGCCGTAGTATATCCTCAGTACAATTTTGCGGCGTTTCCATTGATTTCTCAGAAAGATAAATGACTTTGAAAATGAGAGGTGATCCCCTGGGGATCCCCTGGGGATCCCCAGGGGATCACACAAAATAGTACAAATCTAATCAGTTATGCCAGTAACCGGGCATCAATTATGCGCAGGTAGTAGGGTATGAGAACCTTCATAAGCACGATAGAAAAGGAAGAAGAAAGATACGTAAAGTAACAAGATATAGCGCATCCCCTCTCAGATCCCCTCCCTTCCCCAGCGGGGATGTACGTGCATACGGGCCTAAATTTTTTGCCCATAAAAACCTTCAAAATTCCTTGCGCAAAAGCCCGCAGCAGGTAAGAAAGGTAGATTTAGTATCAGCGTTTCATTCTCTCCAAGTCAGTATACATTTCATACAGAAAGGCCACTTCGACCAACCTTCCTTCCCTTGTAAGTTTGCCATAGAGTTGCCACAGCTCTTGAGATCTGGGTATGTAGTTGTAAAGCTAAGAGAATAATACTGTGTAAGAGGTGAATAAGCAGCGTTGTTTGACCGGTTTTCATTATGTTGTTCAAAACGTTCTGCCAATTTTCCTTATGATTATCAAAATTCAATGCGAACAACGAACGGTTAGGTGTTCTCGATGCGCAATGGCGCCAGCAAATACGTCACTTGGCTATGAAAATAATCAAGCAAGGGAATATACGTCAAAAATGAAAACGTTGCGCTAAGGGCCGCGAAAATGCACGTTTTCAATTAGAGGCGCCAGAGCTTGCAGAAAGTTGATTTTAAATTTTTCAAACTTCTCAGATTCATCGGATAAAGCGACATCGATTTCACTTGATGAGTGTGGTTTTATATTTCAAGTATGATAACTCATTGACTGCAATGTTAAAAAACGGGTCTCCGCGGCCCCAGTAATCCCCCGACCTGGCGGCAGGTCTCGCGTGAAGTTGGCAAAAACTGTGATTCCACATTCAGGCCGTTGAAGCCTTTTTACAGGTGAATACCACTTCTACTTTGTAGAAACTTATAACAAAATTTAAGATTCCTGAAATTCCCTATAGAAAAATGTTAAGAAGGGCGGAACGTGCTGCTGACAACTCCGCGAGCCAACCTGTCGGCAACCTCCCAGCAGCTCGTCAAAATTGGGGAGGTGGGAATTGCAGCGGATTAGAGAGAAGAGCGATAGTGTGCTCTTTTGAGAGAGAAAGGTGCCAGCATCTCGACGTGCCTCTAGTCGGGATGCCAGCGCTTAGTTTTTGAGTTTGAATATCGCAGATCATACAGATGACGTCACAGCGAACGACATCAGAAATTCTGTTTTCTTCCAAAAATAACCATTTTTGTCATTATTTTCTTAATTGAAATTCATTACATTCATTACATGAAAGGTAAATCATTTCCTTGGCGGAACACTAGTGAGCATCCTTTCTTTTTCCTCCGTTGTCTTGTTTGCAATGATTTTAAGTGCCGTCCATCCGTGCAAAATGTGCACGCGTGGGTGATCGGGTAGCGGCTGGCGATTGAACGCATGGAAGTTTGGGCGCCCGCGATGAAGAAGTTTTGCGGCGGTCTGCCTGTGCAGTCCGTAAGCTAACGCTGGAGATGGCAACTTCCCACAGTCTTGTGCCAAATCGCCATCTCCTATGATGCCACCAGGTGGGGTGGATAATTCTCGGCCTACATGTTTCAAACGCAGCCAACGATTAAAAAGTCTTCGCCTACTTTTTGTAATCAGTAGTCTAAGGTTGTCAGCACAAAACATAGTTGACTGACAACCACTTATTGTGCAGATATAGATGAAATACCCAGCCATTATTGGGAGAATTTTTTGAACAACTCAATAGCTTCTACCTACGGCCTAGTCTATGACTTGCAGTGATTTGAAAATGTTGTTTACACTATTTTCTGCGTAGCTATTTTTCAGTCGGTAACGTACTGTTTTAGGGATAAAGAAACGAGCATTTCGGCGAACACTGTCCACTACAACACTGATCCAGAGTCTGCCGCTTTGAATGTATTTTTTCGGCTTACTGAGTCGCTTAAGTGTGAGAAGATTTGCGTTTTACTGGTAGTCTCTTATGCAATATAATGTGCACGCTTCAAAAAGTACATGCAGACGTTTGCTTACAGCGTGACATGAAGCCATCAACTGGACGTTTATTGTCGAGTAAGCCCTCGACAACCCTTCTGATCTGCGACAGTTTCAAGTTGGTGACAGAAGACCCTCGTCTCGCTTCAGTGTTTGTTCGCTATCTCATTCCTGGATGTTCTCTAGAATTTCATAGCAGTTTACTTTGTGGACAAGTTAAAACATCAACAGATACGGCGTTCTTCAACACTAACGTGGTAAAGAAAAGCACTCGCCGTTGACTTACTTCAATTGTCAGATTTAGGTCAGATTTGCACCTTCACTCATCACAGAGTGGAAGATGGCAGCTACCGATGATCACATAGTTCAACTGCATGCACACACCTTCTCCATGAAAACTCCTGGCGTAACATCACGTGGAATCAATCAGCTATTAATGGTATTATTTTTTGAAAATATAGTACACTAGCTGGCTTACTCGGCTCCGCCCGACCCTGTCAAAACACTATGATAAAGCTTTCATCTCTATCCCTGCACAACTTCCCTGTGCCCATGTCTACATGCCAATTCACTTTTCCCGCTGTTGTAATCAGCATGCTCGATTACCCTGTGCCAACTCCCAGCCCTGTAGCTTAAACTTTGCAAAGAAATCGATAAGATCGATAGTAATGAATAATTTTGAAAACTAATATTGTCTTGGTTACCAGCATGCTCGATTACCCTCTGCCAACTCCCAGCCCTGTAGCTCAACTTTGTAAAAAAATTGATAAAATCGGTATCGACCGATGACGAAAAGTAGCCTATGACACCCGCCCGGCGCCGAAGCGTATGTACGCTAGTTTCGAATTGGTTCAGAAAAAAATTTCTATTCGGAACATGCATATATACATAAAATACAGACATACAGACATACAGACAGAACTTAGAACCCTCGCGAGCACTTGAAACTTCCGATTTTACTCGATTTTACAAAATCACGATTACCTGCAGTAAAAAAGTGTTACGCACTGAAAATCGTGTGATACACCTGCACAACAGTTACATGTAAGGCTCATCATTGAGACATTGGCCCGTAGCTAAACTGCCTCAGTCGATTTCAACTGAATAAAATTTCAGTTGAGCCTTCGACGAGTCAGCTCGCCCTCAGTTGAACCATTGACTGATTATGTCAACTAGCCACGATGATAAGGTTGGGAACGTCACGTTCATGCAAGTATACGAGTCAAAACGCGTTCGCCAGCCATCCACATCGATGTGATTCGTACTAGCGGCGGAAATGTGGCTATACTTGTTAGATCTTGTTGAGGGTCGTCTGGTTGGACGAATTCGAAACACACAAGCGTACCCTGATCGGCGACGCGGCAGCGACGCGCAGTTTTCTCCGCCGAGCGCGACAGCGAGCAGGAACTTTGTTTTTTTTTTTACGTTGAAGTTTCAGACGCCGATCTTTGTACGCTTTTCTGCTTCGAGTTCGTCCCGACTTTCAAGCGCACGATTACTGGAGCATGTATGAAAGGCAGAACTGGAGCGCTTGCTTTTTTGTAACTTCTTTGCATGCATTATTTGTGTTTAGCGTACCGGTGATGTTCCACAATAAAGTGATATCAGTAAAGTCAAGTAGGTGTACGACAAGGGTGGAAAGAAAAGTAAAACGCTTAGAGGAGTTATACATGCTGATTGTTCATCGATAAAGTATGATCGGCTCCAGATTCGTGTGGAGGTGTATTGCAGACTTTGCCTTGCCTGATAACACAAGTAAATTTACTAAACCTCCACGTCATAGCATTGCTTTTCGTACTCTCTCACTAGCAAAAACCGCCACGCAGTGAGTTGGCAAGACTCCACCTCCACACGAATCTGGGAGCCGATGATATCCTTTTCAGCCTTAATTTATAGACTCAGTTAACATTACCAAGAAGCGAAAAGGATATCTATCGATAGCGTTATTGATGAAGTTACGGCTTTTTTGCAAACGTATTGCCAATTCTGGTCTCACCTGTTTGTAAGTGTAGAAAGCAGAAAAGTTCGAATTGGTTTTTGGGTGTAGTCTTCACCAAAAGCTGGAATTCGTTAGAAACCAATTGTGGTCCTGCACTACTACAAATATAATTTGTGCAAAATATGTACTTCGAGGCTTGAAACTGTAAGGATCTTTATGATGAAGTCAGATCAGCTACTGGGGTGTGAAGTTACTGAATTGCCGCTCATTATCCGTGAAACAAGAATCGCGGCGGTTGTGCTTGAAGGCCTCCGCAGGAGTTCACCGAAATATTCGCATCAGGTCTCTATTCAGAGTGGACTACTTCTGAAGGTTACCATTTAGCTACTTCGACATGGCACGCCTTTGTGTATACATAACTGCTTTAGCTTGGGGTACAGTAGGTAACGTGGAAGGTAGTTTTCAACTTTCTTTTCCAGTTTTTGCTTACATAGGCTGCTCACTGTGACGATTAAAAATTATTTGATGCTAAAGGACATTGCGAGACGCGGTAGGGGTGGATTTGCAAAGAAACAAACCACCATAAATATTTCTCCTTTTTCTTTTTAGCATTATGTTCTCGGTTTGGTCGCTCCTCGAAGTCACTCACTGAGGCTCAACCCGACGTTTTCATCATGGACAACTTTAACTAATTCTCATTCTTATTAAGACCCCAAACATAATTTGCTGACCGGCGGATAGAGCAAGCACTTCGCAATTCAGTGTCTTTTTTCAGTCTGCGCGTCTTTTTTAAAAATCAATAAAGGTAACATGTTGTCGTGAACAAATCCGTTAGTGGGTGTTTAAGCCTCAGATGTAACGATGCTTCTCCACTGCGTAATATTTCGGAGAAATTTCAGACTGGGAGGAAGCTTCTTGGAGGTTCGCGGACGAAATCACAAGACCATCAATCTATGTGTGCATTACTGTACCCGAAAATTTTAGACACCAACATTACAAAGCTGTGATTGCTCCACTTTGTGACAATAGTGCTTGTTGCTGATCGAGTCCGGAAAGCCTTGTCGAATGCGAATTGGGAAAACACAAGCGTACAAAGATCGGCGGCTGAAACTTCAGAAAACGTAAAAAAAACCAAGTTCGTGCTCGCTGTCGCGCTCGGCGGAGAAAACTGCGCGTCGCTGCCGCTTTGCCGATCAGGGTACGCTTGTGCGTTTCGAATTCGTCGTCTGGTTGCACTGTGACTCCTTAACATTAGCATTTCTTCGACATGTTCAGTTGTAAACTGACGTGTATTGAAATTACTCAAAAGTGACTTACGAAAATCGTCTCTGCGTCTCATCATTCTCATGTTATTCAAATCAGTTCACTTGTCAACTGAAGAACTGAATAAGGTAAGGTAGACGACCTCGTCAGGTAGACGAATGGCCAACTGACATTTCATTTTGCACTCTTACAGCATGGGAAGGTGTGGTCGTCATTCTAACATACCGAATCTCAAATAAGGACCTCACTTCAGATCCTCTGGGCTGAATGAGCTTTACTACGGGCCATTGTCTTTCTTCGGCACACGCCATACTTACCTGCTTATCCATCTCGAATCTAAAGGTATAACTGTGTACTTACTAAAATTCCCTTGCAAAGTGTTTTACAGCAAACGTCTGCTGGGACGCATCTGAAGAGTTGCATTCGGAACCTATCAGCTCTCTCTCTCTTTCAGCATTCTTTTGGTGGTACACAAATTGCGTTCTGTGCAATCCAAGCTCGCAGGCCGCAATGTCCAGATCCGATCATAGTCGTATGTGAGGTCCTCGATGGTGCATCACAACTTGATGTGAATTCCTCTACCCTGCGGCCGCCATAAACGACCTCATTCCTATGCAGCACTATGGTAGATTTTCTTTTTCAGCTTTTGAGTGAATCGTACTTTTGCTCGAAGAAGGCGGTGTTTGCAGCTGCTGCAGTAGTTTGGAACTACTGAAACATCAAACAACTGTGGGCAACGTCAATGTTGCCCTATGCAACGTGGCATCGTTCTTGCTACTATCGAGCGCCTATGGTTGCAAGAATGACATTTCTTTGCAAGATTTTCTCCAGTCGTTGCTGAACACATAATTAAAATTGTCTCCGGCAAGGGAAAACTTATCAGGCCGTACTCTCCCCCTCCACAAACGATCGCCAACCGAATGTGGAATGGGGAACCTAAAGCGATTCGTACCTATACCGATTTGGGGGAAGTGCTTGGTCTACTCTTAAGTAGTCATCCCAAAGCTGGTAGCGTTGAACTCCTTCACAGCTTGAAGACCCTGCCAGAGTATACACTCGCTTATACATCACAGTCACCCGCCAGCCACGTTGAGGGCAGCTTGATAGGGGGGGGGGGGGAGAAACTAGAACAGAAATGAAATTTCCCCACTTTTCTAGCCTGCGTATCCTATGAATTTGTACATTTTGCAAACTTTTCACGTCATGGAAAAAGTTTGGGGTTAAATGTTTCTATAATACTGGGCAAACTTGCACAGCTGCTTTGTGCTTTTCTCAACGGCTTCATATTAGGGAAAATACCAACTAAAACAACATGTATCCATAAGCTGGCTTTCAAATCCTCATGCTGGAGATAACTTCGAATGCATATGTATGTTTGCATTTCATAATCGAGGATCATTGTCCTATTTTCATTTCTCTTTCTGATGCTACTTGTCTTTGTCCCATCATTTTCATTCGTCCTTTTCGTAATATGTAGTAGTTTCCGATTTCATTGAAAAAGAGCTCATATTCCCTCTTTTTACGCGTTACTTTCGCATAATTGCACGCATTATACTTTGTGGTACAAAAATGTTTCCCGTAGTGCAGTGGCAAATAGTGCATGATGTCCACAACGACAGACACCATATAGCGAATATATGCGAGTAAATTCTATGATTTGGCTCTTGCTTTTTTAGTTGATGGGGAGAAAAGAAGCAAAAGAAAGTAACATGTGCTTTCTATGATTGAGCTAGACGTTAGAGCAATCTAGCAAAGGGCTTCAATGACTATGTGCTTCGTGTCGAAATGTCAACAATTATGGAAAACATCGCATTGTCGTTTTGTCGCATTATTGTTTGTTCTGGAGTTCCTAAAGTGTTTGAAAAGGGAGCTAGTTCTATAGTTCGTTTTATATAATCCTTTCTTAGGTTTTTCAAGTTCAGGATTCCGTTCTCTTGGATTTCCTTGTAATTCAAAGTTCTGTGCCTCAAGAAACTGACTCATGATTGATTTCATTCTCTTTTTCTCTCAGGGAAAAAGAATCGCATATAAAATGAATCGTTCTTTACTATAGGCGGTAATCGTTGGAGGCAATTTGAAGAATTTCAAGAGGTTAATCAAAGTAGCAGAATTTTCTTATATTGCTGTTTATCAAATGAATACTTTACTGATAGCGAACTTGATCTAAAGCAAACCATGTAACGAACTCTTCTTTCGAATGCCCTAGAAGACATGTTGTTATAGGAATGGTTCTATGGTAGACGCCAAATAAGTTGCGTCATCTTTGAAGAGATTCAAGACGCTGACTGGAAGAAGATTCTTGGAAAACTGAAATACTACAGAGAATTGATCGTTGAAGAACTAATAGATGTGTAAGGAAATAACTCAGTTCATAACTACAATATTCATTTTGATTTTAGGGTTTCCGAGAAAAGATTGCTGAAGAAAAATCCGATGTTTGGCTTCGAGTTGCGTAGCTCCAATAATGGGGTTTTGTGGCTCATTATGACTGGGAACTGCTGTATGCTTACAGATACTTCTACTCAAGGCTTTTAATTACAAATAGCATTTTCATAGCTATGTCAGATATTAGTATTACAATAAATCTGCAAGTATTTTGATATTTGGGTTACACTTTATAACAAATCAGATGTTTTTAATTAAAAGTTTGGAAGGCATCTCTGTAAAGCAAAACAAAAAAACGGAAATTTGCTGAAAGTCTGGACATTGAGTTTACAAGTCCTGTTTGCAAAAACTTTGCCCTATGCAAAGTAGAATAGGACATTTTTGCGAACTACGGTAGAGGTACAATAGTATAGAATGCCGGGTTTTGTTAAAACTTTAGGTAAGGATTATTTTGGTTCGTTTCTTATTTCTTACTATAGCGGTATACTGTGGAGTTACAATATAGGCACAGTTACCTTGGAATCGCAATTCTATACGGTATCGATACGGTAACAAGTATGGTATTCAACATCAGCATGTTCTGCGAATTTTAGTGAGATTAGGGCCTCGAAGTTTTCCTGTTCGCATGTCACAATTGGTTATATTTATTTAAGGTTTCTTTTTGTTCGTTTTTTTTCGACACACCTTGATTTATTAAATAAATCAAATTTTATAGATGTTATCGCAGCAGTCCAAACATACTGTATAAGTGTTCATAGTAACCACCATGTCAATTAACCCTCCATGTAAAATTTTGTAATTTTTGATTTTGAACCCTGGGCAGTCTAACGAATGAAGTCACAAAGTAAGATCAAAGACGTATTTTTGTGAAGGACAATCCCCGACAATAACTCTTACTCAACCACAAAGAAGATCAATCTAACTTATGTCTAATGGCATATCTGTCAAATCACACGGTAGTGATCTTACACACATTCTCTCCGGGATGATGATGATTGGTGAGAGTTTGCGTAGGATGCGGTGAGAATTAGACACCGAACGCACAGAAACGCAGTTTCCAGTGTGTTGGGCGGCAACGTTGCGACACAGTCGCCCCCTTCGATGCGGTTCTGTGCTGTTGTAGCTGTGGCTTTTGTCATTTTGGACAGTGTCATTTCGGATGACAAAGCTGAAGTCGACATTCGAGTATCCGGGGCTTGCTCTCCAGGTTGGTTTTTGGGTTTTTTGCCCGAAATTTTATCTCTTTTTCCGCTTTTTTCTCTCTTTATTTGCGGAACTTCCTCCACACTTTCAAACTCCCAAAATTCTACAAACTTCCGAGCTCTGAAACTTCGTCAAACCTCCGCATTTACTCTGGTTAATACCTAACAATTTATCTTTGGTCTAAGCCATCTGCTACATATACAAATAGCCTGTTTTACTCGCAAAATCGGCTTGAAGAATACGCGCACGTCTTCAAGTTCATCATTTCCGAACGTGTAATAAAAATGCAAATTCCCGTACTACTAGTTCCTTCTCAATTCATTCAATAACTCTCTTATGTTACTGTCTCTATTTAGTGAGCGTCCGCATGTGAACGTTATGAACGTCGGAGAAAAACCTGTTCTAGTGTGAGAATCTGCTTCAAAACGAGACAGAATCAATAGACTGCCCTAGATGTTACAGATCCGTACGCGCGTACGCTCACTCATTATCCATACGATAGATATCTCAGAATGGAATATAGCTTTCTTTAGACATCAGTATAGCCCGCTAGCTGCTTGAAGTTTCATCGATGCAGGCGCAAAAAGGGAATATTTGACTCCGAACCAAATTCAGAAATAGCAAGCACACACGAATTTGCGCTATAGGGTTTACTTCATATGGTGAACATGACACTATCAATCCACGCATAAAAATTTTGAAATGATTACGGTAGCTACACTTTAATAGCTTAGGAACCCGTCATACCACGCCTAGAAAAGCCCAAAAGCGCCTAAAAAGCCCAAAAGGGCCCAAGAAAACCCAGAAAATCCCAAAAGAGCCCGAAAGCGCCAGAAGGAGCCGGAACGCGGAAACGAGCTTTTGATAGAATTTCGACTTATTTTGATGTGCAGATGATAGAAAATAAACCAAAAAGACTCGGTTGAAATCAACACAAATGCCTTAGCGCCAAAACGCGCGGAAGGGGGCTTTCTGCCCTTTCGGGCGCTTTTGGGATTTTTGGGCTTTTTCGGACTTCTTTGGGCTTTTTTTTGAATACTTTTGGGCTTTTCTCGGCGAAGTATGACGGGTCCCTTAGACTTCACCATACTTTAGGAGTTTAAATTAGGTGAATTTTGCCCAAAAAGGAGAATTAGGTGAATTTTTGGTCAAAAAAAGGAGGCGGTTACCAGATCCCAATTAGTACTCATTCTACGTGATGGAAATGCTTTTCGCAGTTCTGTAGGTTACGATGTGGGCAGATTGAATTCAAAAAATTTTATCACCTGCTTATAGTACACCCACCGTAATCGCACAGAGAGTCCTAAGATGCAGAAAGAGTACAATTGTCGAAATTCTGCGTGTCAGCAAAATAGTAGTAGTAGTAGTCAAGTCTGATAGGGGATACCGCATTTTTTTCAAAGTTTTGGGGCTCGGGCAACCCAAAATGATATGGATTTTCACGGAATTTGAAGACGAATTCGCAGCAGATTATGGTGGAGCTCCAAGGGAAGGAGCACATATCTAGATGGGAATAATCACTGTGTACCCAATGAACTTTAGTTTTTTTTCACAATCCCACTGATCATTACATCTGAATCACTTTGCCAATCTATTCTCCAGAAAATCTCGTCAAAAGCTTCAACTTGACTTCACTATAAATTCGAAAATTACTGTACCAATTTTGATCGACGGTTTGAGTAAGCACAAAGTTCTCGGTGGTATTTCGCGCTAGAATTGGCTGAACAGACGTTTTATTCACTTATGACTTGCTAGGGGTGATTAATGACGATGATGTTGCGACTTAATCTCCTGTCTCTCTGGTTTTGTGACATGTAGCTGCCAGACTACGGATATACAAAGTTTGTTAACATTAGCAAAATTATTAATCTTATATATAAAGCTGAATGTCTGTTTGTCTGTCTGTATGTATGTATGTATGTCTGTCTGTACGTATGTTCCGAATAGAAAATTCCATTTCTTAACCGATCCGGACCAAACTTGGCACACATACACTTCGGGCCCCGGCGGGTGTCACAGTCCACTTTTCGTTATCGATCGATATCGATTTTATCGATTTTTTGCAAAATTTAAGCTAGGGGGCTGGGAGTTGGCACAGGGGGGTAATCGAGCATGCTGATCACCCACGTGGGTGCTCGATTACACCCCTCAGCCAAATTCCAGCCCCCTAGCTCAAATTTTGCAAAAAATCGATAAAGTCGACATCGATCGATAACGAAAAGTGGACTGTGACACCCGCCGGGGCCCGAAGTGTATGTGTGCCAAGTTTGGTCCGGATCGGTTAAGAAATGGAATTTTCTATTTGGAACATACGGCGGAGCCGGGTAAGCCAGCTAGTATATCATATTATTACGGTAGCGTAATCGCTGATTTTATATTTTTTGCTGTTAATTTTTACACTTGTTTTTTTGCTATGTATGATCTATGTTTGTGTGTAAGTTGTATCTAATGAATTCTCAAGACCATCTTTCTCCGTACGCAATTGCGTATAACAATTTTTTGAGCTTCATTTCATCGACTGTCCTTATTTTCTCCTTTCCGTCGATAAAGTGTCTGCCCTTGTTAGAAAGTACCAACTCAAATTTCTTCAGGACGCTAGTCAAGATTTTCATCAGTCCCTGTCCTTTGTTATTGATTTAAGGGGGTGACAATCTTTTGTGCGACTCAAAATTGTACAATGTTATTCATATAAACAAAACTTGACTTTCATCCCAATTGTTCCGAAACTTCTCTGCCAAACTTGGAAAATTCAAGATCAAACAAGTATAAATTATGCATCATCCTATATACAGTTTTAAATCTGTAAAAACGGATTCAATGAGTATTTATTTCTTGTGTAGTCGAAAATTGTTAATTACTCGACTGATTTTGTTCATGGGCTAAAAGTCTTTTAATGCGGTTAAAAGTTGCCCCTGAAAACTTCAAATCAATCACTAGCTCGTTTTGATTAAGCTTTGCAAGCAATAAAGTCTTATGTGAAAATCTGCAGATTTTAAGGTCTGACACTGACACTGATTTTCTCATTTTGTTGTAGGGTTCATCAGAATAGTTTTATGGCTTACTATCAAATACAAGGTAAGCTCAACTCACGATGGAAGGATTATTTTGTTGTGAGTGGAGGATGATGAGGGCAATTTTCAGCTTTTAAGGGTTTTGGAGGCGCAGATTAGACTTATTTTCTCCAAAGAAAGTTGAGTCTCCATAAACTAAGCTTGAAATAATTCTTTTGGGCGAGACCACTTTTATCTACTTGCAGGTAATTAATTCTTGAGAAATATTGTTTGAATGAAGAGTAAGCGGCTAGCTATCGAAAATACTTCAAATTACTTGCTTACAGACATGATGTCTCTAGAAGCAGGCAATTTGATGAATCAAATTGCCTGCTTCTAGAGAATCAAATGCCTCGTTTGATAAGTGTGAAAGATAAAGGAGAAAACATTAAACTTGAGATTTTTCTCGAAGCAAGTAATCCTTAGAGTGTGAATTGGAATGCTAATAGATGCTCAAAGAACGACTCTTTTGGGTGTGCTTTCAACTCCCTAATATCGAGTTGCACATCATCACTCACTACTATGGAGAAAGCTCGTTGAGACCTAACTGTTAAGTGGAATCGTTTCTCTGATTAAGGAATTAATCATAATAATGCTTACCTTGAAAAACTCCGAAATTTTCTCGATAACGGCATCTCCAACTAAATTTTACTAACAAAAATCAAGTGTGCCATTAGATCAAGATCTGCTGAAGGCTAAATTTTCTTAGCTAATAATGTTTCTGGAGTGTTAAGAGTTTTACCCGAAGTGTTGGACTGAAGAGCAAATTTGTAAGCCGTGAAGAGCTGATTTGATTATAGCACCACCATTTTGATGAAGATGCAGCTCCTAACATTACTCTTGGTCCTTAGCTTAAAAGCTTTGTCTGGTGTCTTCTTCCCCTTCTCAAATTTTCATTTGCATTATTAACCCAACATAACTTTACGATTATTCTTATCATAGACAATTTCAGTGTACTTGCAACGAAAAGGCATCGACATAAACAAATATCGCCCTTCCATACGTTTCAATCCAGATAAAATACAACTGGTGCCAAAGAACCCTGTCATCCCAGGATGTATAAAAATCAAGGCGGAAGGTTACTAAATTATCTTCAACAACATGATACGAGAAATAAATCGAAAGTTTCTTTAGGCGTTGAGATCACGCGACCTATACGAAATCTTATAGCCGAAGTAGAACTTCGTATCGGAGGTACTCCAGATCCATCAAATCCTACGCTTCCCTGTTCCAAAAAGATAGACGAAAAAGTCAATCAATGTCCATGTGCGAAGCTCGAAGGAACCTGGTGAGTATTATTGTGCAAGATTACATCCCATTAGAAGCCATACAAGGCAAACTCCAAATTTGAACCCTACTTCATTTGGTACCACGCACCACGTTCGCTTTTTCCCTTTTCGCAGTGTATTCCGTCACCATCCCAGACATCAGAGTTTAGACACAACTTGCAAAAAATCCCATATACTTATCGGCGATTTGAAACACGCAAAGATTGGGTGCCGTTGCGTACGGTCAAGGTAGCGTATGCTTGGGAGAGACTGCAGGTGGTAAGAGAAACGAAAAAGCGCTTAATCAGAGAGACGCCGATACGTCCGCAGTCTTTGCGTGCAACCGCTTATAAATACCCCTTCCCTACTGGAACAGTTTACATCAGAAGCGTTTGGTCAATAAATGTAAGTTTCTTTTTCAGTGTCTTCTGTGATTTCTGCAAACAACTCAAAGCACAGTCAGCAAAAATATCTGCATCACGGCAGGTTTCTTCGCATAAGAGTATTGATGACGATTGCAAGTGAGTACATACCTATTTGAAAAAGACGCTATCGAATATTACCCTGTATTTGCTCAAATTGTGCAATCTAGACTCGTTGTTTAAATGCGTTGAGTACTCATAGCACCGCAAGTAATCTAAACGCAATTCATATTCAAAACGAGTTTCATGAAAGGCTGATTCTTAAAAGTTCGTCGTCATAAAAATATTACGATTACATCGCAGACGTGTTATAATTAGATTATGAGTGTTCTAAACTAAACATAAATTTTCTCATTTTAAAAAAATATTCTCGAGGTATCTAACGAAAGCACGAGGTTCAATGAAGCTGCGCACGTTTGCAAATGCTTACTTCTAAATAAATGAAGGAATTTGATAGGAGTAACAAAATATTGATTTTAAAATCAACAAATCTAGGAAAATACAACATGTTACGTTGAGAGTTTCAGATGTAATGAAATGCAGCCTGGTCTATACGATATCGAAACGGAAATGTGCACTCCACAAATCGACGATGTGAAAGACTATATTCCTCCAGAGATACAAGCTAACATTTTGGACAAACGACCAGTAAGACAACATTCCAAATTTTATTAGTGGAGGTCGAGTCTCCATAAATCACGTTTTATGCCTCGGGCATACTTCACGCGATTTTAGTCGCGTGAAGTAATTGGCAATTTGCCAGATTCCTTCAAATCCAACACTGACAGACTACAAATGCATAGTGTGCATAACTTACTTGGGCTGATAAAATGTCCTATCTTCTGTACATTTGAAAGGCGCTTACGCTAAGTTCTTGACGATTGGGGCATTGCCAAATCGTGCGCGACTAAAATCGCGTGAAGTATGCCCGAGGCCTTATGGACGCATCGTATTTCTACCTTTTTTGCTGTGAAGCTACAAGCGACTATTTCAGATTTCGATGTTCATTACCGTTTATCTCATGGATCTCGAGTCAAAGAATGAATCTTACCTATCAGCATTTGGTCGCGCCATTTTACAGCGAAGGTATTTAATAAGTCTTGCAGATTGATGTATAAGTCATTATCAAATATATACATATTTTTAGAATGGCACAAAGCACCGTTGCCTGCTTCCTACTCGGAATAGATGTTAAACTTGCTCTACCTCAATTCAATTGATCATTATAGCACATTGTAGTTATTGAAATGGCATTTATTGTATAGTTACCAGCAATATCAGTCTGAACGTGTCTTTCATCTTGTGAGTGCGAGTGATCTGATATCCTTAAATTAGTAATGAATATGATCAAAGAGAAGAGGTGTGCATTTTCTGGCAAATTTGCAATCACGGAAATTTGAATGCTATGATGTAATGCATTTGATGAAGGGGGGGGGGGTATGCTGTGTCACAATGTTTATTAGTGAAATCCACTAAATTCCTTGACACAAGTTCTTAGAGCAGAATACTTTCAAGCCGGCCGAAGTTAGACATTGTCGTCGTTCCGCAAACGCTGTTAGAAGTACGGAGCGGGGAGCACTGGTGGCCGGCCGCGCTATCTGGCGATGGTTAGGTAATTTCACACGCACTACCACAATCGCCTCGGGACCACTACTTGGCGCGCTGCCAGCCAAAGGGCTATATATAGCGGTGGCGCCTGATTTTGGTGCCTGTATGTTTTCGTTTCCGATCGACACGCTTTTCTCACTAGCTTTTGTGCTCTACTCCGCTGAGCTTCCTCTTTAGTCCCTCTCATGTTAGCGGTTGAGCGTGTCGAGGTTGAGCTTGGAATTGGGAGTGGAATTTGGATTGATTTCGACGAGCCCCTTTGGGACTTTTTGGGGTTTAGGATAGCAAAATCTGAAGAAATCTGGGAGTAGAGTTACTGACCCTGTCATCCTTGTCGAGGGCGGCGGATCTGTAGGCGTGAAGCTTTCAGTAGCACCATGTGTGAGAGTCAAGTAGTTGCTCACCATCGTTAGCATGGGGCGGGGCCCCTCGCATGGTGGGAGTTGTTTTTAGTTGATAAATTAGCGCTGATTGATTTGGGTTTGTTGTTGTATTGCTTATTCTTGAGTTAGATAGATGCATATAACATTTAATCGCTTCTTCTATCGCGCGCTAGAGCAACATAGTAGGCTGGATGGCGTCGTATATGTTGAGCGGGCGCGTGCATGGGTACCGTAAAATCGAGATGCTGTGGGCACACTGAGCGTTTGCAGTTATCGTGCCGCTATGAACTGGTTTTGGGACCTGTGCGCACCTGGTTGTAACACCGATAAGGCGTAGTTTCCATTATTTTTACCATCAGTTTCGTGAAGTTCCTAGAGTCTGACTGTGAAAGTTGGGCCGGTGTTTTATTGTGTGATTGGTACATTGCCAAGCGCATAGCTCTGAGCTACGGATACCTAGATCGACAAGTGTAAGCCTGCGTCAAAACCTCGTTTTTTGTGCAGAAAGACAATTTGAGAACGATGTCGTGATTACAACACATAATTCTACTTTTCGTGGAGGGGAAAGTTTTTGCAAACAATGTGCCCCTAAAGATCGCAACCAGCTATCGATATATGGTAAGCACCAGTAAATTTTCTTAACACGACGACCGAGCCATTTTTGACCACATCAAAATGGACTGATGATCTGCGGCGGCGGTCTAGACTGTTTAGCAGCTACCGCAATGCCGTGTGTTCTATATGACAACCAGGTCAGCACTGCATAGAAGTTTCATGAGAATTTTTCGTAAGATGGTCTAACTCCAACTGACCTACGAGCCCAAACTGCTGGCGCGCACTTTGGAGGCCTTCTGGATAAACGCCAAGAGTCCAAAAATGAACCGGAAGGAAGAGTGCCTGGCGGAAACTAATGAACTCGCGCCTCAATCCTTCTGTAGGTTTTGATATGAGGTCAGGTCACACGGCTGCTATAAAGAGGTAGAGGTACATATCCCACATTCGGTGGTCAATGCGCCTCCTGTTGTGTCATCTAAAGTGAGTTCTGGCAGTCCGTTAATCTACCTTGGCTTTCGTACTGGTCGTGGATTGAATGATATCTTGAGCTTTGGTGTTGACGTCTGAGTGGATGCGTCACTTATACATTCGACTTTCCAGGCTCTGACGAAGGCGAAAAAGCCGAAACGTTGGCCAGTTGAATAAATAGCATCTTAACATCTTGGTTGCTGCTCAAAGAGACGACACAGCGTACATGAGAATTTTTCGTTTAGACGTGATAATTTGATGCACGAAAGTGCTAAAAGGTGGTCCGGGCGTGCATACGCGCGGATGCACACGGTCGTCAATGTGTTAAACAGGCTACTTTCGTCAACAAGACCAATATTTGAATCTTTGCATGTGCCACATTCTTGTGATTTGACATGCTGCCTGAAATTTCTCACTTACGACAAACTCTGAGAACTTCTCCTGAGACTGAGTATTGGCGAAACCGCGAGCTCATCAAGAAATACAGCGGCGGAGAGCATTGCCTGCCGCGCTATTTGGCGACAATTACGGTATCAACATGCGCATTGCCGCATTGCCTCCGGACCACTCCCAGCTTTGGCGCGTTGCCAGCCAAACGTCTAGATATACCGCCGGCGCCCCATTATGACCTCTGCTAAATCTTGTTCCTAATCGATATTTCTGTTGCTAACTTCTGCTCGTGCTTGGCTGATAAGCGGCCGCGAGATCACCTCTTCAATTAGCGGTCGAGCAAACTACGATTAGGTTGGAATTGAAATTTGGATGGATTGCGAACCAAGCATCTCTTGTATGGTTGGACCTGCAAACTACTGATTAAGAATCTTGAGAGCGGAATCTTCACCTTGGCAACGCGCGGCGGATCTCTGTTGTGAAACCACGGATAAGAGTCAGCTAGTCGCGATCCATCGGTAGCACGACAACCTCGTCCCTACTGGGGTTTTATCTCAGTAATAGATTAGTACTATAGTTAGTTGCTATTTAGTGCAGCTTTTTTTAAATATCTGGTGACAAATTGTGATAAAATGCCACAATAAAAAGCCGCAGCGCTACTTGTTTTGTCGCGCGTTGCGGTGGCTGGTGGCGTCATGCGCGTGAGCCGGCGAGCGCAGCACACGAGGCACTGAGGTTAGGTGCTCAGTGCCCACCTAGCCGACCCTTATTGTAATCGTGCCTATGGTGCCGTTTTATGGTGATTCGTAAATAGCACCCCAGAGTAAACTACTTGCATTTTTCGGTGACTCGGAGACTTTGATCTACTGGCGTATACCCTTCCCCACCTCCATTAGCTGTTACTGTGATGGGAAGGCATGATGTCCGGAAGCGAGACAGTGGTCTAAGACAGTCTCTGTCCCGGCTCCGCGATGCGAGCGCTTCTAGAAGTAGGAGGCCGGGAGCACTGGTTGCTGCCGCGCTATCGGGCGACGATTAGTACTTTTCCACGCTTGCCGCCATCGCCTCAGGACCTCTCCCCGACTTGGCGCATTGCCAGCCAAACGGCTATATACAGCGGCGGCGCCTCATTTCAGCATCTGTTTTCGCCTTCGTTTTTGATCGGTAATCTTTCTTCGTGTTTTCTATTGTGCTCGTGCCTGGCAATTAAGCTCCCGCTTTTGATGTCACTTTCGCAGTAGCGGTGGAGCAGATCGGAATTTATATTGGATTGGAATTCAAATAGATTTGGGATTCACTTTGGACGAGCGAGTCACCTTTGGAGTTTTTGAGATGGATATTGAAGTCTTATGAACTTCGGGAGCGGAGAGGTCGCGCCTCATCCAGCGACGCATGGTGGATCTGTATAGGTGAAACCTTGGAAGCATAGTTGTTATTGGTGTTTATAGACGCGCACCATCGGTAGCAAGGGATGGGGCACCCTGTCTCGTGTTAGGGTTTTTCACTTTATTAGTCTAGTTATAGTAGTTTTTGTTATTGTAGTTCAACTAACTTGTGACTTGATGTCATTAGGATAAATTGTAAGTAATTTATAATCATTTCTTTACGCGCAGAGCAAGTGGTAGACTAGCGTCATATGTAGTAAGCGACCGTGCGCACAGGTATCTCGGGTTAAATCTAGGTGCTTAAGGCCCACCCAGTTGCTACAGTATCCAATAGCCAATATTCGACCCCTCCCCCCACCCTGCCCCCATTGTGCTACGCATGGAGCAGTACTTCAATTGGCGCGAGAATTTCTGGTGTTCTCATCCCACCTGCCGTATTTAGCTCGATGGAAAGCTTACCAAGAAGACTGTTTTCTTGTGGAGATGTTGCAATGGCACCTGCTGGTCCAAAATTTATCGCAAAACCCATGAGGGTGGGAAGATGAAAATTCAACTAACAATTCCTGTGCTGCAATAAAAGCGCGGTGCGTTCAATAGAGTTTATTACCAAGATAGGTATATTAGAAATCCAAATAACCTTTTATGAAGCAAAGTATGAAACACCATTCTGAGAATAAAATTTCAAGGACAAATAACATCCAACCATATGAAACCGCGTAAACAACTTGACAAACACTAGGAGGCAAACATCATCAGTGAGGAGCCATCAGTTCCGCTCAGGCATTTGATTGACAGCGGAAATTGATAATTTGGCCTGAAAATAAAACCGATGTTTGTACCAAAAGCAATATCCAGGCAAATCTTGATAATTGGTTGATGTGGAAAGTGGTCGGGAGCCCTCAACTACCCCCACTGCCAGAAGCAGCTTATTTAATTTGTCTATGGCCAAGAAATTCGATTCAAAACTTTTGATCAGTACCTTTTTTCCCGCGGACTGATCAGCGTCTTCGAGTTACGATACTAAGCACAGTTTAGCGTCAAATTTCTCAACTTTCAATAAACGAATGAGTCTAAATCATTGCACAAGCAAGTCGCCGAACATTTTTACGCGACTGCGAAGGGATGTGATATAAGACCACCCCCCCCCCCCAAAAAAAGTCAAACTATGACTGTTTAGAAAAACAAGCAAAACAGAACCTTCACAGTGCTTCCACTTTTCTTCTGACAGCTATCGTGATCCTCATACTTCAGCCAGTCGAACAGCGGTGTGGTGCATCCGGGGGGTACTTCAGCTCCCAGCAGTTTTTGCTTTAGTACTTGTCTCAAAGCACGCATATTAGTTTCCAGACTACTCAAATGTATTAAGTATAGTCGCTCTCACACAACTTAATAATTACGGTTGCAAAAATATGCTCAATGCAACTCAAGATTTTCTGGTTACTGGATAACAGGCTTGACTTTTTGTATTTTTCGATAAGATGGGACTGAGATGTTGGGAATGAGCACGCTGTTCATAAAAGGGAAAACTAGGGGCAGTATCATCGATTTTCTGGAGATATGAGCTTCTAGACTGAGAATAGTTATGCGAGACTAGCAGAGACACTCTTTGAAATGACTTTTACAATTTATTTTGGTCTAGCGCTGCCGCCCTGCAAGCCCATGAATAGTATATGGGGGAAAGCGAGGATATATTAGCAATATAACAACAGTAAGCAATCACCTTCACCAATTTCGCTTGTTCAATTTCAAGTGCAATATCACTTGATACTTCTTGTTCTTGACAAATTATTTGTACTTTAGCGATTTACTGGAAACCCAGTATATAACACTAAGTTAGGCCAATGAAGATGCCCAATTACCCTTATTTCACGCGCCAAGGCGCAGGGGATTCTTTTCCAATAACGACTGTTGATGATTTCTGTATCATCAACCATTGATGAACTCTATATTCTAGATAGCCTACGGAATACCCGTAGGCTAAATGGTGAGCTACTCACTCTTGAGTATCTAATCACTCAAGAGTGAGTGGTACCCGTGCGCCAGGAGTGTAGCCAATCGGCGGCACCTCCTTTCAAGCACCAACTCGTGTACATTGTACCTTTTACTCGGTTCAGCTCCGCCTTCCTTCCTATATAAGGAGCCTCCGAATGTATTAGAGGTTGCTCCCCGGTCCACACCGGGACACCTCACTCTTCTTCACGACTAATCTACGCCAGTGCGAATAAATCTATATTTCACAACCTCGTCTACCCCTAATCACTTGGTACCCACCAAATTGGTGCATCGGCCAGTGATTTTCCTTGTATTTCCTCGGCGATTCCTTCTAAGGACCCAGGAAATCAAGGCCTAAGACCCGCGTGGCAGGCTCTATTCCCAACTATTCGACTCTCGTGATTGCTGGTTCATCCACTTTCGCGACCAAGAGTCTTACTAAGCTGTCAGGTCCTATCCACAGCTTAGTAGAGGTTTCTAGCTGACTGACTGGTTCATCCACAGTTAGCGACAGACTCCTCGCACTCTAGGCTACTAATTAGCCAATATTCGACTCTAGTAATTGCTGGTTCATCCACTTTTACTAATACGAGTCTTGCTAAGCTATCAGGTCCTATCCATAGCTTAGCAGAGGTTTTCTAACTAATTGACTGGTTCATCCACAGTTAGTAAAAGAACTCCTCGACTTTTTGGCTTCCATTAGCCAAAAAAGACTGTGATTGCTGGTCCATCCACTTTCACAACAAGAGTCATCTTGCGAAGCTATCAGGTCATATCCATAGCCTAGCAAAGAGGGTTTTCTAGCTGACTGCCTGGTTCATCCACAGTTAGCAACAGAAATCCTCGAACTTTTTTGGCTTCCGTAGCCAAAAACACTCTGTGATTGCTGGTTCATCCACTTTCACAAACGAGTTTCACCTTGCGAAGCTATCAGGTCACATCCATAGCTTAGCAAAGAGGTTTCCAGCTGACTGACTGGTACATCCACAGTTAGCAACAGAAATCCTCGAACTTTTTTTGGCTTCCATTAGCCAAAACACTCTGTGATTGTTGGTTCATCCACTTTCACAACGAGTTTCATCTTGCGAAGCTATCAGGTCATATCCATAGCTTAGCAAGGAGATTTTTTAGCTGACTGACTGGTCCATCCACAGTTAGCAAAGAAATCTCAACTTTCCAAGCTCATTCACGATTGGCTCACCGATCTTGAGCTTTGGATCGTTACATTCACGGGACAGGTTCCAACACTTTACCGTCCAGTACAGCGTACAAGCCAACCAGGCGCGCTTGCTGACAGCTAGTAGACGCTCGGCACCCACTTGCCAGCTCACTAGAAAGCTTCCTTGCAACCAGTAAGGACAGCTATCGTATCGAGGCCAGCCCTGCTGTCGCCCTCAAGCCAAAGCGATCAACACAAGGAGGATACACACTTCCAAATTGTAACGCTTGGAATTACCACATCAGCGCAGACTCTACCCAGTGCAGCAGAAAAGAAAATGGCATCGCTCCAGCTTTTCAAGATCAGGATTAACAACGCCTGCAAACTCGTGAAATCCCACGAGTCACAAGTCGAAAATATTGATGTCCCCTTCACATTCCCCACACTGAAAGAAGGATGTGAACAGTACATAAAAGAGAAAACGGGACTGATAATCAATCTTCTCAACTCTCTACACAACGCAGTGAAGCTTCAAGAGACGCAAATCAACTCCGCGATTGAGTACATTAGCGCACGGAATGAGGAAAAAGAAAGAGACAAACTGATGATGGAGCTCAGCAAGCACCTAGAGATGGAGTCACTTGAACTGGAAGTGATTGTAGTGCAGTGGCGAACAAGAATAGAGTTCAGGCAGCATGAACTGAAAGAACAAGACGCACTACTGCACTGCGATGCTCCGAGCATACCCAGTCAAACAAGTAGTGGTAATGGACAAGCTTGGGTTCCAGAACGTAATGAAAGGCAGATCAAAATTCGGAGACCTCTGCTGGAAATCCCTACGTTCTCGGGAAATTTCCGAGAATTTAACAGCTTCTGGACCGTCTTCGAATCTCTTATCCACACTGACGAGGAGCTATCGGATACAGACAAGTTTCTCTTTCTGAAGCAAGCACTGAAGGGGAAAGCAGCAGCCACTTTGAGCTGCATACCCGTCATCGGAGACAGATATCACACAGCGATAGATATCTTGAAGAAACATTTCGATCGCTCTGCCAACATGGCAGATATACTTATAAACGAGATCGAAAAACTACCCAGGGCCTCAGATGACCCGAGAAGTTGCCGAGACACCTTCGAAGCAATCAACTCAAGGATCATTCACCTGGAGCAAACGGGAGCAAAGATGAACGCAGACAGACTTTGGCGTCGAATAATCTTTTCCAAATTTCCCGAATCCATCTGTACGACCGCCATCCAGAAAGAAGCGGTACAAGATGATCCATTTGATGTTAGCGAAATCCTGAACACCATCGACAGCATCATTTCACTGCGAGAGACAATCTTGCTAACAACGTAAACTCTTTTTCCAACCAATTACCACTCAAACAACCAAGAAGATGAAAGGACTACCAGGTGCGATAGAGAAGAACACTTTTCGAAACCAAAACGCTTGTGTTTATGTGGACAACCACATTCTCCTCACACCTGTCAAAGGTACACCACATCAGAAGCCCGACGACTTGAAGCAACAAATCAAGGAGTGTGTTGGAGATGCTTTGCAAGCGATCATAACTCGAACGCTTGCACGAATTTCGGTGTGTGCCCCAAATGCAAAGGATCACACCATGGATCTCTTTGCTTGTCAGAAGCAGGAAAACGCAGAGGATTCTCGACGCAATTCCGAGATTCTGCAATTAATCAACATTCACCTGCTCCTTGGTCACTATATGACATCAAGGAGGATCGTCATGAGATGAGTAATACGCATGTCGTACAAGGCTCACGACAAGAAGCCCACAATCCAGAAGTGCTTCCACTTGCACAGGATCAATGCATTCTTCAAATTGTTTCGGCACTCATATTCAACGAGGCAGAGTGGGATTACCAGCCAGTAACGATACTACTTGATTCCGGTGCACAACGAAGCTTCACCAAATCAGGACTCTGTGAAGAACTCAAGCTTCCAATCCTTCGTACTACTTCGTTTACTACATCTGGAATGGGCGAACAACAAGAGCAATTCAACTCATCTGAAGTACAAATTACCTTGAAAAGTCTTTACAGCTCCGAAAAGCTCAAGAACTTGTCAGTGCACACTAAGCAGAAGCTGACTACCGACATGCAGACGGCAAGTCTCACGAAAGCAGACTTGCGTTTCATCTCTAACAAGAAGTTGATAATCGCTCAAGATACGCTCTCCTCGAAAAGCGTCTCACCCGAACTGATCATAGGACAAGACCTCCTAAACCTTGTTACTCTCCACAACGATAGAGTGCATAAGCTTCCTTCGGGCCTCATTCTGACTTCAACCATCTTTGGATACGTTATATCAGGGACGACGAGCGCCACTACCGCTACATCAAGTTTTGTTGGCACATTCGGCTGCATATCAGCGCTAAAGAAAACACTGAGGAACAACCGCCCAGCTCCACAACACAAAGAGAGATTGAAGAAACCCGAAGCGTACTCTCATTTCAACAGTGCGAACACTCGAACATGCAACAAGCCATTATGGCCAAAGCAAAATGAAGGAACAATCCAAAGGAGAACGATTCCGTCACGAGCGATGCTACAACCATGTTCTTCATCCAAAAGCCGACAATCCACCTTTACAAGGTCAACAGTCAATGCTTCCATCCTCGCTGAAGCTCGAGCAGACAGACAACGTTGGTTGGTCACAATACGTTCCACGACGAACTCCAATGTCCGCCCCCGATATGGGATAGAATGGCTACCGCAGCGGTTCACAAACAATGAAGCCAAGATAAGGATGACGAACACACCGGAGAGAAGACATCATGAGTACATACATCGTGTAAGAACGCCGTCTATCAAGGATATGGTCGTCAACGAAGCAACTACCGATTCAAAGTGGAAGAGGAGGAAATGGCGAGGACGACAAGCAGCGCCAAACCGCCCACCAGCTCCAGCGATCACTTCAGATGCTTTTATAAATTTACGTTAATGATTGTACTCTTGTGTGTATGTTCAAGTTACTTGCAAATCCTCCTTCATAGCTCATTTTTCTGTATGCGTAGGTATTAACTTATTCGCTAGTCAACTTCAAATGTATCTGCCACTCTAATTAGGATCTTACCAGATCTCATTTTCCTCTCGCTCGCCCGGAGTGTTGATGATTTCTGTATCATCAACCATTGATGAACTCTATATTCTAGATAGCCTACGGAATACCCGTAGGCTAAATGGTGAGCTACTCACTCTTGAGTATCTAATCACTCAAGAGTGAGTGGTACCCGTGCGCCAGGAGTGTAGCCAATCGGCGGCACCTCCTTTCAAGCACCAACTCGTGTACATTGTACCTTTTACTCGGTTCAGCTCCGCCTTCCTTCTTATATAAGGAGCCTCCGAATGTATTAGAGGTTGCTCCCCGGTCCACACCGGGACACCTCACTCTTCTTCACGACTAATCTACGCCAGTGCGAATAAATCTATATTCCACAACCTCGTCTACCCCTAATCACTTGGTACCCACCAAAACGACCAGCACAAAAATGAAATTGCGATCAAAGGACCCTATCCCGTGCTGCTTATTGCTTGAAAGAATCGTATGGCATAAGGATCGCTTTCCGAGGTACAGCGGCTAATGGTTTGCTTAAAAAATTGAAAAAGGTGCGCCTGGTACGTGTGAAATTAGGGTACTAGAAAAGCCTAAGAAAGTATACTTGACTTTTCCCAGTTTGATTGATTTTTTGCATGCTTTGCCATGGATAGTCCAGAATGGTACAATGGTTCAACGAAGGGCTTTTTTCATGAAATCTATGAGTCTGCACTTTTGAGCGTAAACGGTGAAGTGGTACGTAGGGATGGACACAACTGTTATTCTATCACGAGGCGAACTGGGAGTGCATATGCCCACTACCCAATTGATAAAAGTTCAGAAAACACTGAAAATCCTCACCCTATCCGCATATTTCCTTCTTCAGCACTCCAGTCTCTTGTCCACATACTAATCTAAATAGCAGAAGAACATGAAAGTACGGCTAGTGGAAAAAGGTTACCTTGCTGCCTTTTCCGCGTACATTGCACACCAAGCCACATATGAGCTCCATATCCTCGCCGAATTGTTCCCCAATCATTGCGATAAGAATTTCTAGCCATATTAAGTCCATAATCTCAGCTGGCCGCCCTTTCTCGATCTAAATACTTTGCGATTTTGCAAAGTTCTGATAGGGTCAAAAGACTCTATAAAATAAGGCGGTTAAGTGATGCGACCTTATCTTATTATGGCCAAGTTTTCCAGATTTAAGCACTAAATTACTGAGTATCATCTATTCTGAGACTAGAATACCCAGGACAGCAAAGCACATGTTGATCGACAAACTCAGCCTACCCTTTGATTCAGTGGGACTGGCGGCTGGAAGGCGGGGCTTCAACGCTTAATCAATACTGGGGAACCATCAGAGAGCACACCCGCGAGAGAGACGCAGACTGCTCGCGGGTGCCGGCGGTTGCCTTCAGCCGCAAATCCCGTTCAGGGCTCAGCACAGCTGGCACCGGGTCAAGCTGGATATCGTTTTTAGAGCGGAAAGCAAAGGAGTTATCGTTTCTACAGGGGCCGAGGCGGAGAACTGCCGCAAAAATGCCGCCGGCATGCCACCGGCACGCCATTGGCAAGCTGTCCATCAACAAACAAAGGCGTTGTTTTCAGCCAAAACGCAATAGTATGACACCAAATTTGGTGTGTGCATGCGCGTTGGTGGACCGGAACTATGGGCCAAAAATTTATGAAAACTTATGTGAATGAAAGCTGTGCCCAACTTTTTTCTGAATTAGCTGGCACCGTGCCAGCTGGGTGCCAGCTGAGCTGGCACCGACACTTTGCTCACATAAGTTTTCATACTTTTTTACTTAAAATGTATCTACACTGTAAAAGATTACATACGGAGAAGAAACAGTTTCATAATGTTCTCTTTTCAGCGTTTTATAGCAATTTGAAAACCACTCGGTCCGCTCCGCAGTCAAAAAATCGGCTCTTTCTGCTTCTCAAGATGTGATTCGACCACTTAAGAAGCTCAGAAAGCTGTGAAAAGTTCTTTCATGAAATCAGAAATGCATGAAAACACTGATACATTTTTTACATAATATAAAAATGATGACGGGTTTTCAAAACAGGTCAAAAGGGACTTCGTACGAAATTTTCAATATCATACGGGACTTCGTTTTGAAATTTCCCTGGTGCCAGCTCGTGCTGAGCCCTGATCCCGTTGAATCAAAGGGTAGTTCATCATTTGATTCAAAGACTTCATCATTTGATTCAAAGACTTGAAATTGAAGATGAGGTAAAGCACAAAACTTGGTTTGTTTATCACACGTCTGCAAAATTTTTGAGTATGCCAATCCCAAGATGAATGATACTTGAATGACGAGCAATCAGACAATACACGATTCACGAAACGCAAAGACTGGGCGCCATTGCGTCCGGCCAAGATAATTTGTGCGTGGGAGAGACAGTAGACGGTAAAAGAAACGAAAAAGTGCTCGATCAGTGAGACGATATATCCGCAGTCTTTGCGTGCTACGAATCGCCTATAAAAACCGTATAAATCCTTGCGGTTCATTGTCCGATTCACTTTTGAAAAAGTGGAAGAGATAAATCCTAGAGAAAGAGCATTTCATGGATAACACTTACAGTAATGAGCCACCGTCCTCCTTTTAGATTCTCTGGGACTTCCCACATAGGCTGTATACCAGCTTTGAACACATTATAATCACAAAGACAGTTGAGTCCAGAGGGTGGGCGGATGTTGTTGTACAAACTGAAAATAAGACTGACAATAAGAATCTGCGTGAGCGGTGATGAAGGGGTAACTGGTGTAACTTACAACTCGACAAAAGAAATATGGACTAAAATGATAAACCGTGAGCAAAACTAACCAGAAAAACCAATCTGGTACATGATCGACGCTCGACAGTTTGAACATTGTATGTTTTTGAAAAGATAAGACAACTCACGCCCAGAATTCTTCAACAGTGGCAAATGTACAAACTGGCTTCAGGCGATCTTCCCAACTGGCTTGTCGATCATCGTTCAGATACCAGTATGTCCATTTTTGCTTCAGAGGATGGAGATCCTGAATGATATTCTGACGAGTAGCGATTTAGATACCGAAAGAAATCGCTAGGGTTTCTAACTCCATGAACAGCAACTTGCGAATTGCAAGCCCAGCTCGCTTAAGTGCCGGGCATACATCATGCGATTTCATCGCTTCACGATTCTGCCAATAAGACAACCGTTACAAGTTTATGCATGCCGATCATCTTGCATTTCTAGTGTGTTAGTTTTCCGACACGACAAATCGTGACTAACTGTCACAACCGAAATGCATGATGATCGACATGCAATGCATTTTTAACAGTTGTCTTGTTGGGAGAATCGCGAGACGATGAAATCGCATGGTGTATGTGCCCCCTTTCCTGAATTCTCTATCAGGTTATGCCCTTTCTTGGTTAAACATAGACATCTATGAGACTCAGTAAACAAATCCCATTCTCCGTTACGAAGAGCGAAAATTCATATGTTAACAGTAAGCTTGCAGCTTCGAATTTGTTGGTCTTGTCTGTCCTTGAATCGCTCTTAACAAACAAAATTCAGACAACAAACAAAGAAGAATCCAGACAACAAGTCATCTTGCTTGCATCATTTTTTTTGCTTAGAACAGAAAAACAAACCAAAGGTTCGGGAACGTTGATAAATTCCTTATCCTTCTTCTCCTCGTCCGTGACGTTCTCGCTAGATCCGAATTTAGACATGGGTGAACTAAAAAAGTCTACTAAGCCGTCAAAAGCAGCGACCAAAGAACATCAATCTGATGACGAGATGTTAAAGCTTGATGTCAAGAAACTCAACAATATGGTACTTTTCAAATGAATGAGAAGCATTCACACTAGCCAACGCCGCGATCCTTGTCAACTACTAACAACATATCAATAATATCTCTCTATCACTTAACAAGCTACAGAACTAGTTTAGCTTATGTTAAAAAGTTATAAACTGGGAACTGGGACTTGGAAAAAGACTACGAATGGCTTTTGCGAAGTTGGCATTGGGTCAATAGACCGGCGCACTTGACCCAATGCGAATTTCGCGAGCGAGCAGAATTTTTTCGCAGAGCGCGGAACTCACATTCTTTGGTATGGCACAGACGATAAGGGCGAGCTTCATAGCGAGAGAGTTTGAAAATAAATTTGAACATTCCCATAGATTCTGGAATATCGGTATTTCGGATCATCGCCGCCCTGAGTTCTCTAGATGCTCGAATATCGCGGATTTCATAAGATTAATGAATCATGATTGAGTGAAGAAGTCTGGTCTTTTGATCTTTGTCCGAACTTAGCTCATGAGTTGTTTTCATGATTCTTCATCGACTCCACGATTCGTGTAGAGGCGGGGTTTTGCCAACTCAAAGCGTGGCGGTTTTTGATAGCGAGGGAGTACGAAAAACAATGCTATGACGTGGAGGTTTGACAAGTTTACCTGTGTTATCAGGAAAAGTCTGCAATACACCTCTACACGAATCGTGGAGACGATCATAGCTCTGTTTCGAAGAAGAATTTTAGATTTTATTCTTTGATCACTGGTGAGCTACTTTTAGCGTAGGTGTAGTAAGTTACAGACAGACTTTATTTCTGAGCACTGCAGGTTCAAAAATCATATACAGTTGATGTCAACTAGGTGTTCCCTTTTCCGTAGCCGTTGCGAGTCCGCACCGCAAGGGTCTAGCGCGGTGACCTCCATTAGGCGAGTTTTGAAGGCGCAGCCCTAGGCGCGCACGCGACGCAGGGCTCTGGGGTGGCGATTTGGCGAACACAAGATTGACACGGAATCTAACTGCGAAGTTTGCCGAGTGCTCCGGACTCTCTGGTGAAGGTCCGAGAGGGTGTATGTGAGGAGGCGCGTATTTTTATTGCCAAGTAGACAACAATCAGCGCATTTTTAGTATTTCATGATGTTCTAGAAGCAATTCAAATTTCTGATAAAAAATGTATGATCGTCCCATAGATTGGTCAATCTCATTATTCTGTAATATATTCAAAATATAAGCGTTGTCCAAAGCTCGTAAAATGCGATTAATGACGTTTTATTGGATATTTCATTCATTTCACCAAACGATGCCATACTTAGCAAGTGATAGCCAGGTATTAAGTAAGCCAGAAAAAGTCGTCTAGTGGTTTTTCTTAGTTCCAAATTGGGCTGTTGAATTGGTGACCTCTGGGGAAATTGCGCCTCTTGACCGTCTCCCGGCCCGAAAAAATTCCGCTTTCCAACCCTGGGACTACATTCGCATTCTTCTTTCGTAGATTTGAAGTCTTTGTCCCTTTCACAGAAATGCCAGAAAATTTTCCTGCCTGATTTCTGATTTCTAGTACTCTAGCTCTCTTTAGGCAACACTTGCCGAGATTATTTTGGAGGTAAAACCGAGTGCAATATATCTTGATTGCTGAAAGATAGTCTAAGGGGAACGGAACTTACATACACAATAAGGTTGCCGCCGCCTAGTTAACGGAGTTCATGAGAGGTCATGAACTGGCACCAACGCTAATTTACACTCAATTTGCACCGAAGATGAGCTGGTTTTGCTCACGGTAACTCTGTCATCATCCTGCAGCATATGAAACCGATTTTCGTTGAAATTTGAATTCAAAGTTCAGTAGTAAAATCTGCCCAGTTAGGACAAAAACTCGTATTTAAGGGTATTCTAACACGCTCATTCCGAATATGTCAGTCGTTTTACTTGAAACCTAGGATTTTTTTTTGAATTGAAACTTGTTTTCACAAATTTTCCAGCAAAAATTTCAAAAATTCTATGTAAGCTTTTCTGATATGCTGTTTCCCAAAAAGCTAATGGATTTGCTTGAAACCTCAAACCTTTTCTATTTTGAATTTTAAACTCTTTTTCGAAAATTTCACTGCAAATTTGATAGACCTGGAAAACAAACGAAAATAATCTGCTATGTTTGAGAAAATACAATGGAAACTTTTGGAAAGAGCATGTCAAAAAACCCTAATTGTGAAATTTGCCAGATTTACAGAGAATTTGTGGAAAATAAATAAAATTTTGAAGGAAAAAATATCCAAAGTTTTGAGCGAAACCATTAGCTTTTTAGGAAACAGCATGTCAGAAAACCCTTACATAGAATTTTTGAAATTTTTATTTCTGAAAACAAGTTTCAATTCACAAAAGAAAAAATCCTAGGTTTCAAGTAAAACGATTAACATATTCCGAATCAGCGTGTTGGAATACCCCTAAATACAAGTTTTTGTCCTAATTGGACTGATTTTACTACTGAACTTTGGATTCAAAGTCCAACAAAATTCGGTTTCATAGGCTGCAGGATGATGACGGAGTTACCGTGAGCCGAATCAGCTCATATTCGGTGCAAATTGAGTGCAATTTGGCGTTGCTCCCAGTTCATGACCGCTCATGAACTCCGCTAACTAGGCGGCGGCAACCTTATTGTGTATGTAAGTTCCCTCACCCATAGTCTAAGCATCCAGACGAAAGGAGTATTTGGATCCGTCTTAGCGAATTTTCCAATTGGAGTTCGAAAATTGAACACATGAGCTCGGATCGCAAAATTCACGATGGCAGTGCTGGTACTGTATTTATCTGTCTCGCTTGAACACGATATCTGGGCTTCCAATTCAATCTTGGAGTGATTTCTCATGCCCTGTTAACGATCTGACAGTACGCAGTAGATTAACGTCTTGGTGTTTATTTCAAGATAACATAAAAACAGCTTTATGTAGAGCTTTAAATGACATTCAGGAGATAGCTTGAAGTGACATTCAAGGCAAGGAACTCGTTGAACAACCCGTATCATAATGCGTATCAATGAGTATAGTGAATTTGCAGAATCGCCTTAGATGCTATGTTGTCACAATCTTCTCAGGGACGCCAGGAGACATTCAGTATCTAGTACTCTGTGGCAGTACATGGTTCCTTTGGTTCGGTCTGCTGGGCATCATGGGCATGAGAGGAGGGGCGTTGAGAATTGTGGGAGTCGCTAGCGTAAAGCCGTCCGCAAATTTTGATTCCAGAAAGATTCCCAGCTCATGTTCTTGTAAATCATAAGGCTGTGAAGGTTGTGTGGCAGAACAGTGCACTGGAGGCAGTGGTGGAGGTGCTTCTGGAGGCGGATATCGCTTTGGACCAGTTGAAAAGTCGAGTGCAAAAGTGATAGGTTCCGTCGCGGGTTCTTCCGCTTTTCTTGAGCCTACTGTACAGAAACCTAAAATAGAGTTTGATTTTTGTTAGATCCTGCAAACCCCTTTTACAATTTTACCTCGGACAAAGAGTGAGAGCATGAGTGGCAAGAAAATTAGGCCATGAATAAGACCTATGGATATTGCCAAAAATACCTGTAAAGGAGAGGGTGAAAATTCGATCAATAAATGAAGATTCACTTACAGTTTTGAAAAATGTGACAATCATATAGGCAGGTACATCGGCCAAAACAGCTACAGCCAATATTGTAGAAGCAGCACCCTGAACAACAGGCCATCCAAGGTCGCCTAGCGCATCGCGGACCCGCTCACGAGGATTGCTTCCTTTTGAGACCACATATCCATAAGCAATGTGAGCTGAATAATCTACGGAGAATCCAACCGACATGATGATCGTGATCATCGAGATGGCGTCCTGAGAATTATTACATTGCCCCTACTAATGTCAAAGTGGACTGCACGAAATCGCCCAAATCGCTGTAAGCTGAACGCCTGCGAGCGTGCCTGCAACGCGGCTGCCGCGTACTGACGCTATGATGACTCATGCGCTATGTTAGCCCGCAAAAGACACGCTCGCGGGCGTGCAGTCAACTGTATCAGTCTTACCAGGTTGACGCCCCAGAGTGTCATGTAACCCAAAACACCGAGATCGATTGATCCTATGGTGAAAGCCACCCAAAGGGCACAGAAGGGTTGCGGAATAAGCAGAAAAGCTATGAACAGCATGCACGATACGGCTATGATGATATCTTGGACCTGAAATTTAGTACATTTACCACTATTTCAGCCACAACTACTGGAAATCATGCATTAAGTCGCGGTGAAGCTCGCTTACCGTGTTTGGTACTACTAAATCGTATTGATCTGTAAAAAGCCACAGAGGCATAAATGTTGTGACGTTGTACTCAGGATAGCGTGCTGCGACCTGAAAAATATGATCGTAGACTCAGAGAACCACCCTTGAAGGACCTACCTCACGGAAACTCTTCGTTGCGGCTTGTTGCTCTGTAGTGCTTGATATATCACGCATTCCAACCAAAAACCTGTAAATTGCGATTGTATGTCACGAGGAATCGTGTGTAAAATTCTCTGGCGATTCAAAAATAAATTCAGGACGGGGCGCAACAGAATTTTTTTAAATGAAGGGGCGTGGCGGCAATTACACCCGAGAATTTTTTACAAAATTAGTCTGAGTTTTTGAGAGTTTTCAGTATCAATATAATATCAATAAAACAAGTTACATGCATTTCGCAAAACTTTTGGCATCTGTAGTCAATTCCACGGTCCTTTACTCAGGAGAGATTCTGCCGCTCCTCTCCGCTCCCCTCCCCCTCTCCAATTTACAGAAAACCTACGAAACTACCATTGTTGATAACAATTTTTGTTGAACTCGTTCCATAAAGGCCATGACAGATTAGCGTGCTAGAAAATCTGATCTCACCTGAACGCTCGTATATATGGCTGACCATTTCGATTCAGGGCCCATTTGACATCTTCCATCCATGGTTCGCTGTCATGCGTGAAAAGGTAACTTGCGGCCATTTCATAAAAGCTCTAAAAATATATATATGCAGACCATTAGCTCTCAACGTAACACAACTTACCTTCTCTTCTATCGTAGTATTGTGTTCAGTTCTGTAATAGCGATCCATCTCCTTCATCCAAAATTGTACACTGTCGTCACCAATTGCATGTGGCGCAGTTGCAAAATTGTGAACCATTTCGTGAATTTTTGCAAGTTCTTGACTATCACGAAGATCTGGCGCATTGCTGATGACTATCTGCAAGAAAAATTCGGTCCAAGTCCATTTTTGCAGAAGATTCATTGGGCGGAGGGCTATCGGAAATTTATAGCTATTAGCTGTTTAGAAATTATCTGAAGGAAAAGTAAATGAAAAAATTGCGGACAAAAATTATGGGAACCTCCAAAAACACAAACCAAAAATTTTTGACATTGAATGGAAAAATTCATAGATATTGAGTCAACTCTGTTTCTATCCTTATATTTTACATTAATCAAATTTTATGGTTGCAAACTTGGAACTTCCACAAATATTTTTTTGGAGAGCTAGCTGACGAGACGTCCATTCATATGGAAAAAAATTTCTCATCCCTCCTCAGGTCCATACACAGATCAGGACTTCGAGAAATTTTTCATGAACAATAAACATTCCAATGAAGAAGCAGTATACACTCCAATGGCGGACCGAGGGAACGAGGGCCCTTTCCTTCCCCCTAATCGAGATTAGGTCGCGAATTTTTGAACGTGAACTAGTGAGTTTTAAAGTTGTGCAAATGATTTGTTTTTCTTGTAAACATCTGAAATATTTCCGAAAATCTTTTAAACATTCAAATAGCTTTCGGAAAATTGTCGATTTATAGTCTCGCGAACATTTTGAAGGGCATAAAATTTTCGGAGTCTAAAATTTGAAAACTCTTTTGAAAAATTCTTGTCCCGCCCCTCCCTCCGAAAAAGTTTCTTGGACCGCCACTGGTACCAGCAAGGGAAGCACTCAAAATGAAAAAATGAGCTCAAAATTGTGAAGGAACAATCGAGAACGGGGCAATTTCTAAGAGATTTGAAAATTTGTATCATAATGTATTCTCACCTGCAAGGTAGCACCATAATGCCAGAAATGTTGCTCCAATGATAGATAATGTGGTTTCGCGTAGGAATCATCGACCGGAAAACAAAATTTTTGATTTTTTTTGGAATTTGCTTTATGAAAAAAGAACGTACTAGGAGATTAACTGGCTCCAATCCTTCTTTGAGATGCATGCATCCGTACGCTGCGAAGCCTATGTAGATACAGTACCACAGTGCAGCCAAAGCTTTGATGGCTGGTTGCATGAGAATAGGAGCATACCTAGGTTTGAGCTTGATAAAACATAAAATCATATTGGCCAGGAATTTACCAGTTCTGGAAAAATTCGGTGGCAGCGCAAACTTTTCGGTTCGAAGCATGGCTAGGATCAGGATGTGGGCGTGAACCCAACCAAAGAAGTCGAGTTGAAGAAGAGGACGCCATCTGAAGATTTTTAGATTCAGTATGGGGGGGGGGGGGTGAGGGGGCTAATACAAAAGAAATGATATCATAGAAGGCAACCTTGGGAGAGACTGTAGACTTTAGCCAAAGACAGTGTCTTCCTTCTGCTTCCCACTGAGTTGCCAAAGCAAGTAAGGCACAGAAGAATGTTACCTATAAATGGTGCTGAATGAGTATTTTTCCTAAACTGATTAACCTGGTCAATTTTACCTGGTAGGTGAATGTCAACACTAGAGCACAACAAGTGTATATGCAAAAGATTTGCACAGCCGGAATAGTCGTTATGGTACCAACTCCGAATGAGAAAGCATCTAGAATGAAAATTTGCAGCTTTGTGGTACCATAATCAAGTTTCTAGAAGATACTGTAGGTTACATCTGGAGTAAAAAGGTTCAAACTGAACTCTAGAGCTTGTTTAGGCAAAACCCATACCGTAACTACACCATAACTGCACAAAAGGTTCCAACAGGAATGATCATTCTGCTATTTAGCACGATAAATAACCGCGCACCAAATTTTTGGCAGATTTATAATTTTGGCTCCATACAGCATACTCATTGTAGCTTCATGTTGCCGTAGAGAATCAGAATGAAAATCATAAATGATCGGTTGCTTGAATATTATGCAAATTAATTTACCTGTGAGAGCAGTGATCAAAATTGACACCGCTGCATCAGCCATGCATTCGCCGAGACGTTCTTCCACATTCAGAGCACGGGAAGTTCGCTTCACCGCCGCGACCATCAAGAACATGTTGTCGGTACCGACAGCTATAATAGGAAGTTTATTTTGCTGTGAAGCTCTAGAAATAATTGCTCACCAACAACCAGGAACGGCATCACTGCGATGATATCATTGTATTGTACACCAAGCAGTACCAAGCCACCCATAGCGCTTGCTATGCCCATTCCAGCGTTTACCACTCCAAATATGGACAGGATTGGTTTTGACAGCACCCAGTCAAAATACAGAGTTCCTGTAAATTTTATTGCAATCAACAGGTTGTCTTGAAACTAGAGCACAATTCTTGACTTTCTCAAATATTTACTGTAGCTACAACTGTCGTCGCGCGAATAGACTGGTGTTGCAGACGCTGTCGGCGTCTCTCTGATCGAGCACACTCTCTTCACTTTCGCAGTCTGCTGCCTCTTCAGGCAAGAACTATCTCGGTAGGTAGCAGGGCGCCCAGTAGTCTCTGCGTGCAATGACTCGCCTATACCATCAATATGGCACTAATAGAAAAGTGTAGAAATTTCTACTCTAGGAAATTTCTCGAATCGCTATCACGGGGATCGTTCTCTGTAGATCTATCGTCACCACCACATTAAAGGCAGTGTCCGGGCAAAAACTCGATTTTGAGATTTTGTGCTTATACGGGCCTATTCGCCATGCTGAATCCGAAAATCCACATTGGAAAGCGCGAAAACGGGGAAAAAGGGCTCTAATATAGGAGGGAAATCAGCAGGTGGGCGGGGCTTTCCCCAGTGCGATTTCACGCTCCCAGCTCCCGGAGCGGTTTTCTCGATTCCGCTAGCCGTTCTAACATCGCTACCGGCCAAGTGCGAATAAGTGACTTGAAACCGGAACCGAGAAGGTCGTTCCGGAAGCCGGGAACGTGAATTCGCAGTGGGGAGGACCCCGCCCACCTGCTCATTTCCCCCCTGTTAGAGCCGTTTTTCGCCACTTTCGCGTTCTACAATGTGCATTTTTGGATTCAGCGTAGCGAACAGGCCCAAGTAAGCACAAAATCTCAAAATCGAGTTTTTGCCCGGACACTACCTTTAAGGCGGTAGCAGAGGTAACGGTTATCTCACCGATGGGTTCCGCTTGCGGTGGCAAAGTGGAACGGACTTCTATGTGTTGGTATGCGAAGTCTGTGGTAGATGTCCGCGCGAACGGAGCTTGTCGGCAACATAACTTCCTCACTCTTTTAGGGAGATATGACTTGCTTTGCAAAAACCCATTGAATTACAAAGTTTAGTGATCAATCTCACCTTTGATTGTGACCATAGAGCACATTACGGCGAAAACTACCAATATCACAAACGCGAGGACAAATCTGTAAACAAATGCAATTTATCCTTTTATCCTTATATGGCAAAACTTACCTTGGAGCGAGACTATCTGCATTACGTTTCAACTCTTCAGCTAAAGTCTGGGAATGAAAATATGTGATGGAGATATAGGGATCTTCTGGATAATTATCCATGTGTCGTTTGAATGCCTTAAAAATTAGCTTGCACAGAGGAAGACGCGGAAAATACGGGTTATAATTAAAAGTACTGGGCATTACCTTCTCCCAAAGACCTGAGATATACGACATATTCGTGGGAAAGAATTTTAGCTGATAAACTAATAACCAAGCTTTTGCAGAGGCAAGAATAACATCTCCGCTGTCTTGTTTGGAAAGTGAAACTCCTCCAAGACCTGCTCCCAGGTAGCCGCTTCTGTAAAAAATCACACGACAATTTTCGCCTAAAGTTTCAGAAAATGGTAAGCATACAATCGGAAATTCTGATACCTGCTTCCCAATCTGAATGTAGGATATGTGATGTTGATTCCATGATTATATAATTCAGAAATAAACTGAATGTGGTCATTCCCAGGACATCCGCGCTTTTTCCACCGCAAGCAAAGGTCGCGATAGGTATAAGTGCGGTTATTGGCTCGAACCTGCAATTATCCATGGGAAAGGAAACAAATCGTACCAATTTTTTTGTAAGAAGGGGAACTTATTGTGCGAAATGACAAAGTAATATAAAGGATAAATACAGATTAGAATAGTTAGAGGACAAACTAGTTAACGAAATAAATATAAAATGGACCTTGATTCGATTTTGAATGTACATGTCGAGTCGCTTTATCGCCAAAGCATATTCAGGCGAAAGAATATTGCCTCCATATTTAGCGACGGCGGTGATCTAAAAAATTTGTACGAATTTTGAGATAGAAATGAAAGTGGGGAATTTGATAGAGGCTCTACCTGTGCTTCTCGACTTTGGGCCACCGATCTGCCAGGAACATAGTTATCCTCACCCAATGGCCACAAATCGTGGATAATCTATAAAAATTAACAAACTGGATGATGTTGATCGTATCTTTATAGTTTCTATAGTCTATAGGTGGAGAGACCAACCTGTCTTTCAATTTTTGAAGGAGCATCGGTAGGGGTATACAAATAAATCGCATCAGTTTGCGGAGAAAGGTAGAAAAATCCTATAATCAAAAAAAAATGTCAAGGATTCTAACGTAATGGAATACATTTGATTGTTTGATAGGATAAGGAAGGGAAAAAGTTTGCTTTTTTCTTCTAATCGTTTTCTGAATTCGAACGTAAAACGAACTGTGCAAGAAAAAAAAAAGAAAAACGACTAAAAATCGCAAAACATCTATTTGATCAAGCAATTTGTTCATCGCCAGAAAATTTGTGAAAAATGCTCAGTAAAGATCGCTCTATAGATGTGAAAATTTGCGGGATTTCAAAATTTGAAGGATCCCAAATCCCAATCTAAAAGTAAGCTAGTACTCCGTCGTTTCCGGTCTTACGAACAAACCTCCACTAAAAGACAGTCTTTTTAATAGCCACATTTTTTATTCTCCCTTTTATACTTCGCTTTGAAAATAGTGTGCCCAAGTGTGGAATTTTGTCCTTCAGAGACCAAATGTGGAAAAAAAAATCAGAATATTGCATGAAGGGCATAGACTATGAAAAAGTGCCTTTTTGACGTGGGAAGTTTTTGCTAAATACGACATTTATTCGAAAAACAAATTTTTACAAAAAAAGGGTTCGCCAACAGAAGCACCTACAAACAAAATCTGTTTTAATCACAAATATCAAGCTTGAAAAAAGTTTATTTCGCAAAGTTTTATAAGATTTAAGGACAAGACACAAATAGGAAAAAAGCGCCTGCTTTCCGTAAGAACCTTCTTTTGTTATGAAATGTATCAAATCATACCTGTTGATAGATATAACGTGGCGAGTATAGGAAACGTTATAAATGGGAATGGATGACGAGCGACAAAGGCACCATACGAATAGAAGAATCTCGCCAAGGGGCGTTCTAGGCAGCCAAATTCGAGCATTTCTGATCACAAAGGCATAACAGAACCTGAACAAAAGAATACAGTAACGTGGATGTAAGGACATCGGTTGTAATCTTCAAAGGGTTACAGTTCGACGCTTCGTTAAGTTATCATTTTATAGGCTATACAACTTTTATCTAAAAAATGCAAAACTAGACGACGTAGACTGAAATGATGTAATAATGTTTTTTTTTTGAACTTTATTACGATCATGTAAAAGGAAAGTGAATTTCAAAGGACCAATGCGAATACTCGGAAGATGTCATGATAGTCATGATACTCTTTAAGTCTTGTTAGAAAAGCACATGAACTTGGCATCCCCAAATTGGATGGAGAGGGGGATTACAGTAATACAGTGTTACGGTAGCAGATATTTCAGCCTCAGAGTGACAAAGCATCATTAACTTTACGACAATAAGCATCTACATCGTTTTTCCCTCAGTCAGATGATTCGAGATAAAAAAGTTCAGCGCTTGTACAAAGGATTCACTGTCAACCTCTAATATATGTTTAGTAAGGAACTGCATATTAGAACTTTTGATGACAAAAAGATAGAAGTAAAGAAGAAGTTGTACAGTAGAGGTCAAATCGGAGAAATGAACGAATGCAAAAGCAATTTCGAGATAGTCCTTGAACTAAAATGTGACACACTGACCGCATCACCGTGAACTACTTTTGTTACTCGAAGGAGAAAACTTCATTAGTCTCTTTGAAAATTTTTTTTCGTTATCAAATGATATGCGGAATTGTAGCTCTTTAATACTCACATGTCACACATGAAAAAACCATTTTTTGAATTTCCTACAATTTTTTCGAATTATTTCAAATTCCCCACTTGCATGATAAGTGGATTGACGCGGCCGGCAAGGTAGAACTAATTAGTCTGCGTAATGAGCGATTTTTACGAACTTGAATATAATTAGCGGAGAGAAAGCAAAGTATCACAAGGTAATAAGGGTATATTCAATTATTTTCCGGCCGATGTTTAACCTTCAATAATGCAGAACAAAATTGGTGCACTGCGTTTTGAATGGGTGCGATCGACAATAAGATCCAAACTGAAGTATACTTTTTGAAAAAAATTTTTGGGGAGGAAAATCATAATAGGCTAAAAATTTTCAACAAATACAATGTCAATTTCCGTATGATAGAAGAATTCGTAGAAGAATTGAGCTAGGTACACAGTAGATAAAATCGATAGAAGAAAATTTTGCGTAACGCTCCAGCACCTGAAAAAACATCAACGCGAGGAAAGACCAAGTTTTCCTAAAAATTCGTAAAAACTGCATAGCTTGGTCATAGGAAAAATACCAGTGTTTATGCAAAACCAACAAAAAAAAGCCTTCCTACCAATGAACGATTAGATCATGGGATGTGCTTATATTAGCACATAAAAAATTCCTTTTCAAAATCTTTAAGCTACACAGAATTTGCCTAACGCTCCAGCAAATAGAAGAATCAGGAATGGAATGGATGACTCAAATCGATCCAGGGTCCAAATGGGGATTCCGCTGCGAAGTGGTGCGCGGAATGCTTGCGCTGACCTAATTTTTTCACTGTACAGTTGTCCGAACCAGCAGCGAAAATAACGATTTCAGAACAGCCTAGAGGGGAAGGGAGGACTTTCTTTGGGAAAAGAACTTTTGCGTACCTGTGTTATTGCAGAATTTTTTTATCTAGTCTCCTGGAAGTTCAAAAGTGTATGAAGCAGGTGTTCTGTGTATATTTATACAGGGTCCTTACTTATTCTGAGATTGACTTGATAGTAGATCGAAGGTTCTATTCAAGGCTAGCAGTGCTACGTAAAAGTAGAGATCTAGTAAGCAGCGATTGCAGAATATTATAGGGCAAGGATGGTGCGACAGAATCTTTTTCATCAAGTGGACCACGCCTAAAAATTTGACATTAACTCACAAAAGGGGGCACATTTCCATAAAACATTTCATACCATTCATTCTCTTGAACTGAGAAGTAGCTGAGTTGCTTTTGTAAATTCTTATAAATTTTGTAGACCAATCTATCCCTAACACATCTATCCATTCTCCAAATGAAGGAAATTTCTACTATTTTTATTTTTTTATTTTTTTTCAATCTCAAAAGTGAAAAGATACTGTTTGAAGCCCGCATATTTTTTGCTCACAGTGGCATCATCTGCGGCAAAATTGGAATTATGCTGACTAGTAATAAATAAAAATATGCTACTTGCATGATTCTGGATGTAGCGCATCTAGAAAAATATTAGGTCGTGTAATAAGTTCTGTCCCATTTTTTGTTTTAGTTTTTTTCTTGACGACATTGACTATAGCTGAGATAAAGTGTATATGCTTTTGAAAGCTCTAGTCTGCTCTGCAGGCTCATATGCATCATTCTCCAACATACAGGAAACTAAAAAAGATATTTATCATTGAAACAAAAAATCCAAAGAGCCGAAATATCAGTTTTCGACATTTTTTCTCCTCCAAATAAAACTCGATTTTTATTGGTAAAACTTATTAAACAAGCTTGACAACAACCAAAAAATGTTTTGGACTTTTACACTTATCCTATCACTGTTTGCGCTTGTTCCCTTCCTTCCACCGGCTGTTTAATGACATTGTTTTTAGAAATCGGCAAGGCAAGACTTTTTCACGGCGATGTTCGCCGTCTCGCGTACCCAAGCTGTGTGGCTCCCAAAATTCGAAATTTAAGTATTTAACCTACGAATTCGATAACTTTGAAGCCAAAACCATCCCTTCTGTTTTTCTGGATGATCCGCCTACCGTCTTCCCTCAGAATGCCTTCAGGTGATGCCAAACACCAACGTTGAAAAGGCAATAGAAAGAAGAAATTTCTAAAGTCTACAGAAATGATTTTTGAAAAGTTTCAGCGCTCCTAAAGCGCAATAGAAGCTAGAGCATTCTTTGCTTAAGTGTAGCAAATTCTTCAAGCTTATTCGTAGGCATTCTGACTAATTAAGAAGGCGACGTAACCTAGGTGTCGAAAATGGACTTTTTCCCTGTTTGATTTTCCAAATTTGACGCTGTAAAACTTCTTCAGGTCATCTGATGTAGAAAACCGAAATGAAAGTTTCAGTAGAGAAGGCTCAAAGTTTTCAAAAGCATATAAACAATTTACAGAATATCGCGCAAAATATTGAGAAAAAATCGGAGGAAAAAATGGGACAGAACTTATTGCACAACCTAATAGAACATTTTCTCTGATCTCCCCCCCCCCCCGCTCCCGCTTCCTCCCCCTTCCCTCGCTGTCTCCGGCTGAGACTGGCTTTTCTAGATGTGAGAGACACAATTTTACAAAAACTTGGAAAGTTCAAAGAAAATTAAAAATTCCAGTTTAGAATAAATAAAAATGAATAAGAAATGAACAAAACTAGGGTTTCTCATAATTTTTTTTACCGTTTTTACTCTAACCCTAAACCTCAGCACATTTCGAGAACTGGAGCAACAAATACATGATCGCACTTCGGTACATATGTGCTGTAGGATCACATGCGTGGGAAGAGCTCAGGAAATCTAAGGACAGAGTTTGCCATTTTCATTCATTTTTTCTTTATTCCTGGCCATGGGATAAACACGGAAAGTGTACAATTGAATGTTTGATCTGTCAAGCATATTATAGGACAATAATTTTTTAGGTTCATTTGGAGCGGAGATATTTGACAGTAAAGTTCGTTTTGGACTGCTATTAGGTTTCAGCTCAAAACTTCAGGTGGAGTACTTCTGGGCTGTCTCTTGATAGCCAGCTTGTAGATCTTGCTTTCTGTCGAATGAGTAATCGAGCCACATTTAGTAAAAACAGTTACTTGAACCAAAAAAATTTCAGTTCTTCACTTATTCTTGCTCTTGTACTGCAATGACAGCGAAAAGAAGTTGCATATCATTCATTTATTTCGACCCCGTATAAGACGTCACAAAATTTGTTTCCAGTATACCAATTAATTAAACGACTTCTTACTCCCCCCGCTTATCTCGACTTATCGATTGGATCTCATGTTAAGAAATACAAATGCTAAGTTTCCTTGGCAACGGCTCATTGCTAGCCAATGCATTGCCGTCGACCTTCGTTCCTTCAGCTACTCTCTTATTTTCTCACTGCTTTGCTCTTTCCTATCACCTGCCTTTCATCGCTCGCTTTAATTTTCCCCATATCAACAGCATGTGAGTTATGAAAATATTCCCGGAGTTAGGGTTGAATTTATAATTGAAATTTTTAGGTATTATATTAAGTTATGTACTTGTATATGCGCAAAATTTCTTTCTCACATTCTACGATGTCTCTCCCGATGAGCTGATCGAGCGAAGGAAGCAAGGTATTAACCTACATTCTATTAATTTATAAATATACCAGTGCGTCACTTCTGCTTCGCAGAGGCTCGCACTGGTCTTACTTCATATGCCTTACTCATTCTTGACTAATGGTGGTAATGAAATTCACCGCGCAGTGCCGATTATCGCGAGTGAAATGTAAACATCTACCCATTTAAAATGCTTTTTCATGTGAGATCGGTGATTTCGGGTGGATGAAACTTTTCGCAGAAGAACAAATACAAATTTGAATAGGTTTTTGGACTCTTTCTGGCTTGGTAGCTGCCATAAGGACAGTAGGCAACGAGAGCTACATCTCTGTGCAAAATTTTTCTTGAATGCTCAGGTAAAACCATGTCAAATTAGTCATTTACGCAACCATTTCTTTTTGGCGTCGTTCTCCTAAAGTAGTAAACTTTTGCCCACTTTTTTGGACTAAAGTCCATGGCTTGCACATCAGCATACCAAGCACATCCCCGACTTTGCAAAAAGTGGTGATACGGAACCAATTTTGCTGGCCAGAACCCAAGTGGTTCCGTTTGACGCGCAGTTTCTAAGGGATCCAACAAAAAAAACCACTCGTGCTTTTGCACGGTAGGCTCTTATGTTGGTCGCATGCGATGTGCAAAATTTGGGCTCAGGACGTTGGCTGGAACTCGCTCTACGAATTTCGTTACAGACAGACACACAGACATACATATACACACACACACACACACACACACACACACACACACACACACACACACACACACACACACACACACACACACACACACACACACACACACACACACACACACACACACACACACACACACACACACACACACACACACACACACACACACACACACACACACACACACACACACACACACACACACACACACACACACACACACACACACACACACACACACACACACACACACACACACACACACACACACACACACACACACACACACACACACACACACACACACACACACACACACACACACACACACACACACACACACACACACACACACACACACACACACAAAAACACGTAAACAACCTTAGCCCGTTATTATATGTAAATCATTTGCATTTTTCGACTTGTAGGTTACTTGTCTTTGGGGTGTTTTCTTTGTTTTCTTGTTTTTTGAGCTTAAATAAGTTGGTACACAGGTCCACAACAGTTTGTTATTCAAAACGGTTCGCGAGTCGTATGTAATCTCACAAGAAACAAACAAAAAAACTCATTCACCGTAAACTGAAAACGATTCACAATATGTTTTGCTGAGCATCAAGAGATCAGCTGTGACGTGAAAATTGCAAGCTGCAAATATAAACGGAATTATATTTCTGCCTGAAAACAATGAAATTAATGCTTTTTTTCTGCAACTACAGAATGCCGATTAAACTATCCAGAACAATTGCATCAATACAATTCTGGATTTATCTGAAAATTGGATTACATCGTGTTTGCATCGTACAGCATGTTGTGAATCTTATCCAATAACTGCTCCAAGTTTTACTGTTAGGCTTCCTTCCTATTTTTCTTTTTTTGGCATTTATCACAGAATCAGCACTATATAAAGATCAATCAGAACTTTTGTCGCGGCTCCGCGATGCAGAGCGCTCCTCGGAACAGGAGGCCGGGGGCGCTGTTTGCCGCATTTGCCTGTCGCGCCTTTTGTAGGCTGCTGCAGGACCACCTCCAGCTTGGAAGGTAGCCAAGCGGCGGGGTATATAAGGCTGCCGAGAGAGCAGCCGCCGCCTCCTCTTCTTCTTCGACTTTCGTGTGATTATCGATTATCTTATTATACTCGGCTACGTTTCAAGCAGCTCCCGCATTCGAGGACTTTTGGTTGAGCGGTTGAACCTTCTTTCGGATTTTGTGTGTCAGACGCGCGTAGGCGCAAGGAAGTTCGAAAGTTGTAGATGAACATCATGCGGGAGTGGAGCTGGTGAGTGCGCCGTTCCACTGGACTGGGCCTCCTTGGGGTCGGCTCTGAGGAGGAACCCAGAACTTCACAGCTGGAGTGAATTCTCTCATGCATCGGCAGCACGGGGGCTTGCGGCTCGCCTCGTGTTATATTCCGTTGCTTTCTTCTCTTCCTTAGTAGTCTAGGAACTTAGTAGTTTAGTAGTAGTTTAGTTTAGTGTTTGTTGTATATATTTGTGTTATGTCGTATATTTGTATTTTGTCACTTATTTATAAACTTAATTAATTTAGACGCGCGTTGTATCATGAGTAGTGGGGTGGGTGACCGCGTCGAGTGGACGCGCCGGAAGGTACCGTCGGTGTCGGACGCGTAACGTCCTAGGGTGTAGGACTGTGCTGTAGGGCAGTCGAGCACACGGCTAGGGGTGCTGGGCCCACCGAGCCGCAACAACTTTGCTCAGGGAGAGTACAATAAAACTCTTTTACTCTTTGGAAATCAACGCAATCGATCAATCGATTTTTGGCAACTTAATCTATATAAACCAAAACTCCAGTGATTCTGATCAAAAAGCCGCTAAAAATAAAATTAGAATCACGCAAGCTGGCCGAGAAATGAGCTATTTATTTTTTCTTGAAAACAGGTGCGACAGAACTTTTTTGCAAGGTTAGTATTTCCCCCAACTACTCAAACTGTATCAATGTAACTTTTTCTCACCTAATCTTCTTCTCCTATCTTCTGTGTAGCCTTTGCAAAGACTTCTTATAAGTATCTATTCATTGGTTCAACAGGATTGGCCGCTGGAAGGCGGGACTCCAAAGGTTAGGAAATGATCAGAGAGCACGGGCGCAAGAGAGACGCAAACTGCGTCGCGGGTGCGAGCGGTTGCCCTCCAGCCGCCAATCCGGTCGAATCAAAGGGTACACTCTCAATAGTTAGTATAGTGCAGTAAATACAAGACCAAAGTTATTAATATACAGCGAAATCATAGTTTTCAATTACTGCACACACTTCTATAGTTTTGACTGCACAACGTCTTTTATATAAAAGAAAAACCCAAAAAAAGAAACTAGGTCCGAACACCATCCAATGAAGGCTATTCACTCAAAATTGGGAGCATTCAGTAGCGCCAGAATTAGAAATATAAACTTTATAATATTGTTCCAGGGATCAAACCAATGCCGTTTAATCCTAAAATACATGCTCATGTTATTGAAGATGGATTTTGCAACATTTGTCAAATCAAAGTGTAAGTGAAAAGCTTCCCACGATTTTTCGGCAAATTAAAAAATATTCATAAATATGTTGTATTTGTAGTAAGGAACACACCAAACATTGTCGAAAATGTGATATATGTGTAGAAGGTTTCGATCATCACTGCATTTGGTTAAATAATTGTATTGGCAAAAAGAACTACAGGTAGATTTTGTTTGTAAGTGTACGATCTGTGTTATTCTTTCATTGTTTTGTATTTTTTCAGAAAATTCATTGTATTGTTAATATCAATCGTGATCTCATGTACCGCTGCATCAATTTACGGCTTTCTACAATTGTATTTTTGGGTATCTAACACGAAACAAATGGAAGAGGGTGGTAAGTCAAAAAAAACACTAATCCAATTTTCAAGTTCTCAAATCTTAAAATTATCAAAATATTTGTTATCTGTTTTGAGGACATCACTTTGAAAGTCTGGAACTAAGCAGGGGGGGGGGGGTAAAATTTGTAAACGAAATTTTTCATAAAAGAATGGATAACAACTTCACTAGAATTTTAGAAGGGTTACGACCTTATCTAGCGATATAATGAAATCCAAATATATTAGGTGGGTCACAAAGTTCGTTCGCCAGATTTTCAAAAAATCATAACTTCCTTCCTTCTTGGTGGAACTTCTTAAGTTTATATCTATTTGAAAGGGGAAACCTTTCTCTTTACAACATTTCCTTTGGCATGAAATGGCGTGAGAAAATGCGAGAGTTATAAGCAGTTGAATAAAATCAATCAAGATCGGCACTTTTCAAGCTGGATCACGAAAAATTCTGAAATTATATTCATTCGATAGAGAAAATTATGCTCTTTACTATAGCACCTTTTTCACGGATTAAAACGGAAAAGATCGAGAGTTATAAGCAAATAAAGAGAATTACTTCAATTTTGCAATTTTTGAGCATGTCCAAAATGGCCCAAAAACGTCACAAAAAAGGCGAGAAAGCTGTAAATATAAATTTTGTGACCTTCTCTTTCTAGTTGTGCGAAAATAGTAAGAATCGAGTGCGATTTTAACTTTCGTGAAAAACAAAGGGCCAAAAATTCGGAAATATTACGAAAATCAAAATTGCTCTCGATTGGTGCGATTTTCACTCACTTAGAAAGAGAAGGTCACAAAGCCCATGTTCGTAGCTTTCCCGCCTTTTTTGTGACGTTTTTGAGCTATTTTGAACATGCTCAAAAATTGCAAAATTGAAGTAATTCTCTTTATTTGCTTGTAACTCTCGATCTACTTCGCTTTAATTCATGAAAAAGGTACCACTGTAATCTGCAAAATTTTCTCTATCAAATAAAAATACTTAAAGGATTTTTCGTGATCCAGCTTGAAAAGTGCCGATCTTGACTGATCTCATTCAACTGCTTTTAACTCTCGAACTTTCTCACGACATTTCATGGCAAAGGTACTGCTGTAAAGGGAAAGGTTTTCTCTTTCAAATAGAATAAAAATTGAGAAATTCCATTGAGAAAAAAGGCAGTTATGATTTTTTAAAAATCTGGCGAACGAATTTTGTGACCCACCCAATAGATTGGATTTTTATTTTTCTTGAATACAATGAAAATTGTTATGCAGAACACATAAAAACATTCTAACTAATCAAATTGACTTACTTCAAACAGAAAATTCATTTTTACTGATTTCAGCACAGATTCTTTCATTCAAGTTCCCAGTTTGGATTTGGTTACTTGCATCCTTTACCACCTTCGTTTCACATTTTGCCATCGCTGCTGTCACTGCCCATTTATTGCATTTTCACGTCAAATTATGTGGGTTATTTTGCTTGATTTATTTTTTTCCTGAAGGTGGTAAGACATATGATTGTCATCTACTTTTTCCCCGATTGACATAATTTGTCTGCCTTTGACTGTTATTTTTTAGGGAAAAAAGGCATAACAACATATCACTTTATCGTGAATCAACGGCGAAAAACAGCAGCTGTAAGTCCATTCGTTCCATGGCAAGACAGTAAATTCTCGAACTCAGAAAGTGTCACGGGAGACTATATCAGCACAAAACGAAATAAGCGATCATCGTTGGAGACCTCGTGAACTTGCTATAGATGCGTTGAGAGGTACGATTTTCCAAGTTTTTTCAAAATCCATAGCACAATTGATGGATGGGGAATGTAAGAAACAAGTAAATGCATTTTTATATAGCATGAAAGTAAATAAATGCTAGTTTGTTCTTTCCATTTTATTTGTCATTGAGATTACCTACCGTACCGCCTAATTCCATCCATAATGATGTCCATAACAATTTTCTTCCGAATGAATAAATGCAGGAGCGGGAATGTGGAGAGGGGGAGGCGAGGAGGGGAAAGAGACTCATAGAGTTACATCAGCTTGTTTCTATTTACAAATAACTATAGTTCCATAAATTTCGCACTAGCTTAGGGACCGAGGTATGTTGACCGAAAATCCATAGCACAATTGATGGATGGGGAATGTAAGAAACAAGTAAATGCATTTTTATATAGCATGAAAGTAAATAAATGCTAGTTTGTTCTTTCCATTTTATTTGTCATTGAGATTACCTACCGTACCGCCTAATTCCATCCATAATGATGTCCATAACAATTTTCTTCCGAATGAATAAATGCAGGAGCGGGAATGTGGAGAGGGGGAGGCGAGGAGGGGAAAGAGACTCATAGAGTTACATCAGCTTGTTTCTATTTACAAATAACTATAGTTCCATAAATTTCGCACTAGCTTAGGGACCGAGAATTCCTACAAGTTTCCAACTTGGTTTTTATTAGTAGTGACACATAGTAGTGGTCAAAAATATATTTGATGAATTTTCTCCGAGACTCAAAATTGAGAAACAAAAATGGTCCGAAAATGCCGAAACGCCACTTTTCTCGTGTTTTTTTAAATGTAAAACTTAGTATTTCTCGATTATAAAAGCACATACAAGGGTAAGATTTTGAGACTAAACTTAGTAAGGCTTGGTATACAACGACATATGGGAGAGGGGCTAGGGGCGAAGTTTGCTATTTTTGGACTATCCCTTTTTCTCCCTTTCTATGAGAGGAGAAAATCCAGTAAAAGCGTGTTTGAGTACCCTATTTTCAGGTGTATAAGCCGCAATTTTTCAAAATTTCGCCCGGGCTGCTCAGCCGCTTCATTGTGTTTCGAGAAGCGATCCTTATGCCGCACGATTCTTTCAGGCAATACGCAGCACGGTATAGGGTCCTTTGGATGCGAGGTCCATTGATGTGTTCGGGCTGCTCGATTTGAGCTAGGACCACCCCGCGGCTTATACACCTGAAAATAGGGTACTACTATGTGTCTGTATAATGACCAAGTTGGAGGACTGTAGGATTTTTCTTCGCAAAATCCAATTTTCAACTGCCATAATTTTTCTCTCGATTTTGCTCTAAAACTTTACATGAGATGCGACTTGGGAGGATCTTTGGTGGTCGTTTTGTAGGGCTTGATCTGCCCTATCGAATGATTCCCTAAGTCTGCTAAGAAAATAAAAACGACTTTAATTATTCAAAAAAGGAGTTTACCTTTGTGACAACCTAATTTTTTTCTTGGGAGGCTCGAGTTACCTTGGTCGGCAATTTTAGGCTTTTTCATTCTTATGGGATCTAAGTCGCTTCAACCCCGCCCCATCTTATAGCACACCAGTAATCGACACCTGCTAAAGTTGTACACTTTATCAAATGCTTATGTATACTAAAGCTCAAACAGTATTACACCCATTTTCTACCCAATGACGTTTTGAATTTTGAAATTTATGGTGCAAATTGCTTCAGATACATCAACTTCGAGGGTTGGAGATGTACAACAACCGCAGCCTTCCTATTTACAAGTGCACGATAATTACAGGTACTATACTTGCTTATGCTGGAATCACTCCCTCCGTTCCCATCTTTAGTTCGGCCAACACATCGTTTACAACGATAATTTGCAAAAATTAGGTAGCTGCAGAGTTCCCCATAACTCTCGTATTGAGTGGGATTATTATTTTCATCTTAGGCAGTCGCAAGAGTTTTTCCTGTAGTAAATATCTGTTAAAATTTATATACACCGTTTAATTCAACTGGCTTGGCTCCTGGAAGGTGGGGCTTCGTGACCTAGTTGAGGCCAGATAAGGACCAGAGAGCACACGCTCGAGAGAGAAGCAGACCCGTCGCGGGCGCGAGCAGCCTTCATTAGTTCACAAAGCCCCGCCTTCCAGGAGCCAAGCCAGTTAAATCAAAGGTTAGAAAAAAATTATAAGTGTTGTGAAAGGTTTCGATCCCGATTGAAATGGTGCAAAAAAAGAAATGGTGAAATGAAGTCGCAGTATTATACCCAATGAAACTCCGAAGTGTTCTAAGCTGACAGTTTTTGCACTTTTATGTCTGCCGCAGGACCTGTCATCAATGCATGACGCATTGTTGCATAGGCACTTTTTACAGACGTTTCGTGAGTAGATAGCAAAGTTAGAATCGCAAAACTATGATAAAGATTGCGGACCGTTTGATAAATTCATAAAGTGGCAAAAAGCAACGTTCATAAATCTCCATTTTGCGCACAATTACAAAGGAAAGAAGGACATTATTTTCGAACTAAATATCTTACATCACGCCCTATATTCCATGATTACCGCAGAATTTGAAAGTTGTTTAAAGGCATGTCCAGGTCAATTGGGTGGATTTTGACGCCATGCGGGAGCACGTCTCCTGACTAGTACAACAGTTCAAGTCCGATTAAAAAAGTTGGATTCTGAGGCGTGAAAATCGCTCCGGAAAAAAAGGGGCGGCCCGCCAATCCCGCCTCCTTGACAAGTTTTAACGTGGTTAATACATGAGATCTACAGCATTCGCCACGTCTAAACTTGTCAAAAAGGCGGGATTGGAGGACCGCCCCTTTCCCTCTAGAGCGATTTTCTCGCTTCAGAATCGACCTTTTTTAATCGGACTTGAACTGTTGCATTAGTCAGGAGCCGTGCTCCCGCACTGCGTCAAAATCCCACCACCCCTCATTTGATGCGGACAATGCCTTTGAGCATTAGATGATAGCTATTGCACCAGCGTTTGATTCAATGTGCTGATGTATGAAATAACAAGAGAGTTCATGTTCTTTATGTTTTACATTTTACAGAAACGTCATTTCAGGTCTCAAGAGCCTCACACTCCTATGGATCTACGACCTCTTCATAACTCTGTGGAACCTCAAAATTAAACTAAGCGATAAGATGTTGATAATAATTTTGCGGGTATTGCATATTCTCTGCTCAACAAGAGTATAAATTAATGAATAATTTTTCTGTGTTAATCAAACATGCGATTGTTTCTGAAGAATGTGCAACTTAAGGAGGGAACAGTTTATAGCCTTTCGTAGAAAAAAATTGCTCACATGTTTACATGATCCAGCGTTCCGGCATCTGGTAGCATAACAAGAGGCACAGTCGTCAAAAAAGTGATAGCCTGCTCAAGTGCTGTGATAGGTTGAACATGCGTTAGGCAAAATTTATATTTCTTCAGATTGTCATGTGGTCTGAACGGACCCCATTTGCTAGCGAGGTTGGAACTCCGCCCCTCTGACACGCTCCGCCCATTCGAATGATTTTCTTCCAGTTTTTGACGCCTTTTTACATGGCAAGCGCAATCGATACAGTGTTACTACTTTCCCTCGTCCGTGTTTGCCAGAAAAGAATGTGATTTCACTTTTTTGCACTCTCGATGTGAAATTAGGGCTGTGAAAAAGTTTGAGTATGAGAATATGTAGCACGAGAATTCAAAAACCCTGGACGTTGCCTACAATGAAGCATGATTTCCACAGTCCTTGAAAAGCATATTCTTGGAGAGGTCCTATGCAAAGAAGGCAGATGACTATTGGTACCAAATTACCGAAAAAAATGTATACATGTGCGCCACAAAGTTCCGACGATCGATACCGCTTCAGTCATCGTGAACAGCCTCGAATATTTCTGTGTGATTACACCGCGTTCCGCGCTTTTCCCGATGACTAACAGTCTCATGCGTAACATTTGTAGTCACTACAAATAGCTGTACAAACTTTGCAGCGATGCCTATATTTATTCTCAATGTAGCAGGAAATATTTTCTTATTTTGACGCATCTGCAAGATTTCTTCTGAACTTGATTGCTCCGAATCGCCTTAAGAGATTCTAAAATTATGTTAGAGTTTTTTTTCATTCATAACTAAGCACAATATTTGCCTTCAATTATAAAGAAAAAGAATTTTGTTTGATTTCTTAGAACCGGCTAAGAGGCCGAGGAGTATGTGTATCTATTTGCAGCACTCAAAACACGTGTGCATTAAGATTTTCTTAGACTAGTTTCCTGTTTCAAAGTGAAAACTCGTTAAGAAAGGTCTGTGTACTTTTCCCGTTGTTCACTTTCTTGGGAAACTTCAATTCTTTTCGCCTCGCCTACTTTCCGATTAAAGCTGCCAAAATATGCTGTTTCTTCATCTTTGAAGATTCACTTTTCTGAATTTCTCTTTTTATTAATTTTCCGTTATCTCATGAGGGAGGCCTGTGCGCCACCTAATTTCGTTATTTTGGTTTTCTTTTCTTTCAGATATTCTGTTTCCAAGCTTGTTAAATAAGTTTTGTGCGCGTTTTTTAAACGTCTGGATTTTCAGTTTTTGAATTTTCTAATGAAAAAGCTCAAAATGACGTGCGCGCCTGCTCTTGTTACTTCACTTTCTTTATCTTGAAATTTCTAGAATAAATTTTTTTTCAAAGTTGGCAAAGAGGTTGTGAGCATTTTTCCTCAAAATCCTTTCATTCTTTGAATTTTGATTTTTTCGTTAATTTTTTGTTTCATATTTCATTGAAAAGGGCTGGGAGCTATCTTCGCAGTTCATTGTTTTGGATTTTTTTTTGAATAGCTCTTTATAAAGGTCGCCAAATATCTAGCGCCTCTATCATTGTAGATTCCCCTCTTTGAAATTTCTATTTATTTATTTTTATTTGGTACGCCTGAAGGCGTGCTTCATACAACTCGAAAACGTCTCAAAACAACCAGAGTGAGCTAGACAAAACACAAATATAAAAAGAAAGAGAAAATAACTCGTTGTACCGTAGTAATGAGTCGGTCATCAAATTTTTCAAAATATTTTGCCAAGTTTTTTTTTCGCTCAGCAATCAGTGCATTTTCGAAGGCACTCTTTTGATTGTGCACTGAGAATGACATTTCTCAAACTGTTATTTCTCGTTGATTCTCAACAATCTCACTATGATATTATTAGAACAGAATCGCGCAAACAACCCTCGTTATCGTGTTTCGTAAAAGATCCACTTGTACTCAGAAGTTATATGTAACAGGAGAGAGAACACTAGTTCCGAGTATCTATCTCTCTCTCCCACTACTGGTGCCGCTGCTACGAGCACAGCCGCTTTATTGACCTTCACATTGCTGGCTGACGGATCCGCGGCTTCGATTTACATCTCTATTGATTGGTCAATCACTTTAACGATGCGATTCTGTACAAAGCAATTATCGCAGCTGACGATTTTACTGCTACTGGTTGTAAATGAAGTCATCGTAACAGGTATGTTCGAATTACTGCTCTGCTATAACTATTTCTTCCACTTGCGCACGTGAGAACCTTTTTTCACACCTGAAAGGTGAACTAACATAACACACTTATTCTTGCACACGCGGGGGAGCCATTTGTAAACTGACTTGTGAGATTGCACATTGCGCGCGGCACCGCACGACTAACTACCACTTACTGGTAAGTGGGCAAAAAAGTCCGTTTGTTTGAAACAAGTTTTTGGGAAGCAACATTTGCACCTACCTGTGCCTATCTAAGCTTGAGTTTAAAACATAGAAGAAGACGTGGAAATTGGCAGCATCCAAGCTGATAAGTCGTGAAGTACCGCGCATATTGTGCAAAGCAACAACTAAATTGACTTAAATGCCTCGGTTGAAAGGTAAATTTAAACTTTAGCACAAGTAATGCACAGACAAAAAAGTGGTAAAGGTAGAGCGGTAAAAACCAAGAGCGCACATTTTCAACTTTTGTGGACATTAGCTACTTTTTGCGCACAAATTTGTTAGCAATGCTGAAATACTATATCGACTATTTTTAACGAGATATTCTCAGTTTATGTCGAGATTCTTTTTCGCTTCCTGGCTGTTTTGATTTCTCCTCAACTGCTTTCGTTTACTAATGTGACTATGATTAGCTCCATATTTTGATTCACTGCTATTGATGTAATGGTTTTTGGACTCACATTGTGTCATTGTGTCATTATTCATAAAATTTAATGCGAAAATATATTATCATTGACGAATCAAACAGAAGTTTTTCGCTTTTGTCATCTTCACAGCCCAGCTAACAACTATAGGTTCAAAACAGCATAATGCTTGGAAGTCGGAGAGAACACATCTTATAGTTTTTTTCTTAATTATTCTTTTCTCTTCCGCAAAGTTGGTAGCGGAAGACACTCCTCTAACATTCACCTTCTCTTTCTTCCAAAGCTAGTTATTTTTGTCCTTGTTTCTCTCGCTTTTCAATTTTTACATTCGATGAGTAATTATTTCGCTAAGAAAAACAAAACCGGTATCCACTACACTAGTTTTGGGAAGAATTCTTGCACTACGAGTGAAAATGTATAGGGCGTTGCTTACGTGGCAAAAGGAATGTATTTCAAAAAAGAAGATGAAATGGATGTGTTTATCAAACCTTTCTTCGATAGTCTTGATATGGAAATGATTTTTTCATATCAAACTTCCATAGGAAAGCTATAATGTTTTACTAATTTCGCGCTAGTTGTTGCTGACAGGGAAAAACTGAAGCAAAAAACTAATTGTAAGAAGAAAAAATATATTATACTATTGATGGCCAATAAATTAAGTTCAAACACGAGTGAATTTATGGTGTACGATCAGTTCGAACTAGTGGTGGATTAGAAAATACCTGAACAGTTTTTCTACGAATAGATCGAGGCCAAAAGTCAATTTTCAGTTTAACAAGTCGCGCCATGTGCTTGGAGGTACTTCTTTTCCCACCATCAATCTGGCAAAAGTACGAGTATTCCCGAATGCTGTTTTTTTTTTCTTATGTTCCGGATCTTTTGCTACCTCAACTGATTTGCTTAGATAATTTTTTGAAAGGGGATTTAATTTCCTTGACGCAGTTCGATATGAGATAGTAGCCAAAAACTGAGATTGTAAAGTCGATCACTCAAAGACAGAGAACTCAAGATTCCAAGTTAGATTGCTAAAAATGTGAAATTTGCCTTATATAAACACCTTTCTAAGCGAGAAAAGCTTGACTTATTTAATCAGAAATCAGTTTTCAGAAATCATTTTCTCTTGATTGAGATTGTTATTTGATTGGTTCTTCTGAAAAACTTCACATTTACTCAAAAAACGGATATTAACAAGAATAGTGCATTTTCATGACGGCAGCTATTCGTTATGAGATGTAAATATATTCACGCCATCGTAGAAAGCTTGGTTTGAATCTGTCTTCCGTATATGCGGAATACTTTCTATGTAATTATGAGTCTCTAGTAGTCAGTAAGCGTAATGTTCGAAAAAAACTGCACTCTTTAAACGTTTTGCGTAGTGATTGGAAAACTCAATTACCACTTTTTAGCAGTAATTAATTACACTAGTTGCCCTAGTAACTTTGAACGCCCAACTTATGATCAGTTTGCAAGCCTGTATGGCCGGTTACCAATCAACAAGACCATTCACTGGCAACCAGTGAGTTAGGGCAAAAGTAAAAGACGATTTGCGTATCAGTTTCAATAATTGTAAGTTATTCCTGCAAGATGGTCTTCTCAAATATTTCTGAACTAACTAATATAATTGTCGAGCTTTGGTTATTGGCATCATACGAATCTTGAAGGTAAACAAGGAGAGGTGCTAAGCTCAGAAATTTTGTAAAAAAAATTGGGAGCATTTTTCTGTAACGAGCTCCCCCGTAGGAATTACCAGACATGTGAAAAGTCCCCATAATGCCCGAGATTTACTTAGCGAGCATTTGATAGAAGAGCGAGTCAAATTGGTTTCTGCAAGAAAAATCGAAACAGTTGCATATCTCTCAATTTTTTTCTGGCAGCAACATATTAGGTTGGCACATAAGTTTTGCAACTTACTTTGTAACTTTTCTCTTTCTGACTGTGACGCGTTCATTTTCGGGCATAATGTAGATTAGATAGTAGGCTACAAACCTATGCAAACATCTTAATTTTTGATTTCGAAATGGAGAAAATTTGCTCATTTTTCGGAAGCTGGTCAAACCCGAAATTTCAGGGGTCAGAAAACCAAAAATGAAGCCGTTCTCAGTCTGAATCAAACACTTAACTTAAAACTGTACCCAGATTGTTGATAGAGGAAACTCTAATCATCTACACAGTTTCGGCTTGATTTGTTTGATTTAGACTGAGAAAGGCTTAATTTTTGGTTTTCTGACCCTTGAAATTTCGGGTTTGACCAGCTTCCGAAAAATGTGCAAATTTTCTCTTCGAAACTAAAAATTAAGATGTTTGCATAGTTTTGTAGCTTACTATCTAATCTACAATAAGCCCGAAAATGAATGCGTTACAGTCAAAAAGAGAAAAGTTACAAAGTAAGTTGCAAAACTTGTGTGCCAACCTATTATTTCCAATTCACACTTTTTTCTCTAATTGAAAACGAGAAACACAGATGTTTCCTGTTGGCCCTGATCTTAGTCCATCAGATGCAAGTAAAACTCCTTGAATACTTACATAAATTTAATTTTGATCAACTGTGATAAAAAATTACTAAATTTCAACTTTCTACTTAGTACTAGATCTTCCTTCCTTACTGAGGAGTTCCGGGGAAGACTTGGGACTGCGACCAAGGGAAGGAACGAAACGGAGTGAAGAAGTAACACATATGATTTCCTCTTTGTTTGTTTAATGCTTTGACTGGTAATGTGCATTGGCTCAGTATTAAGGTTAACTATAGATTTTGACACGAATTAGGCAATTAATTTTGTCTAACAGCAGTAGGGATACCCATCCCTATGCTGTCCTAAAAATTTTACTTGTTGGCTCATTGCAATTTATGGTCCGCCATGAATGAGAAAAAAATACAATTTTTTCACGGATCGGAGGTTCAAAGATCAAAACCTGCTATAGTCCTAAAGTCACACTTACTTTTGCGCCATACAGAAAATTTCTAACAGTGTGAGTCTTGGCTCACTCTGCAGATACGAAAGGCAAAGATATTAGATTTAGGTTAAAGAAGGGACCACCTTTCCTAGTTGCCTTGACCTTCTTCCCGAAGATTTCCGAAAGCAAGCAGAAAGAGATCGAACGTAATAAGTAGACGACTAAAAAAATTACAAACTGCTGTATCGAATAAATCTTGCGAAAAGGACATGGACAAATCAAGTTTTCAAAATGAGCCTCAAAAAAGAACAAGATAAGAGGAAAGATGATGGAGAGGATTATTTGAAAGATGCGCAATAAGAAGGACATATATTGCTATATCACTGCGCAGTGACAATATTGACGGTTGATAAGTACTGATTTTCGCTGGAAAACGCCAACAAAGTCAAAAAAATTCGGGTGAATTGTCAAGTTGTACACATTTGATATGTTGCGTTCATATCTAACAATAAGCTCAATGTACCTGTTCCAGCTTATCGCTATCCGTCGCAGGAAGAAGCAAGCTGTCCTCGTCCTGGATGTGTCTGCAATACCACACATGTTGTCTGCGAAAACTCTCACTTCAGAAATTCCGATGTATTTCAGCAGGTCGGCAACTAAAAATATAGGTTCGCATTCTTTAGCAAAATCTGCAAAATATTGAAAAATCGGTGTGTGTAAATTTTTTTGTCTCTCACGAATGTATGATTGTAAAGCAATTTGTATTCAAAGACCGTCCACCCAGATTCTCGACTTCCATGTTTTGGTCGCGGGCTTCGGGACTTCTCATATCCGTGATTCCGAATATGAAGTCGAGAATCCTGAAAACCGCGATAACTCGTTCCGAAAAACCCGCAGGCCGGTTCTCCGGAATGGTGATTGGATATGCGCGCACGAATGGGCGGGCATTACTGGAGGGGCGGTACCTACTTGGGGTCCTCATGCCTCTTCGCTATTCCGAAGTGATTTTCTCGCTTTCAAAGGCGACATTTGGTCACTGGCTTGAAGGGGGTCCTACTATCGTAAGCTGCAAAGCTCAAGACCCCTAACTTAGGGTGGACGGTGCCTTTAAGAGCCTACAACTTGACTGTAGAAAATGATGTCATACGTAATGACCCTAGAGTGAATAAAACAAATAATTTTGGGCCACTTTTAGATCCATGAACGAGCGTTTCCTCACATGGATACACTAATGATGACAGGAAACGATTTTGGAGATGTCTCCGATGGTCTTTTCACAGAAGGTTAATGGACTTTCTACTCTATGCTTCACAATTATATTCGCAATTTTTATGGAATTTGCAGTCTACAACTGATCTTTTAGGTGAGCATCATCGCAGTCTATCGCTGATGAATCTATCACGAAATGGGATCACTAAAATATCCTCTGACACCTTCAAAGGGACACCAGCTGTGCAGTTCTTGTATCTCAAGGATAACGACATCAAACATGCTGGACGATATCCATTTGAGCCGATGGAGAGGTCAGATAACTTCAAAAAATTTTTGTTGCTGAATGACAGTCTTCTAAAGGTTACGAGTACTGGATATGAGTAATGCTCTCGGTAATCGACCAGCTGAGTCCAAAGCGGATCTCATTTCTTTATTGTTCGACGCAAGGAGGAAAGGTTTTGTAGAATTGGCAGAATTGAAACTTTCTGACAATGATATCCACAAACTGCACAAGGATTCATTCTGCAAGGTTGGTCAGCTCTGTACTCAAAAAAACCTACATCTATATCTTGGAAAAAAAATTTCAAAATTGGCTCTTAATGGTAGAAATGGTCGAATAGTGAGGTATGCGCCTACTGTTATGCATTCTTTTGCATAAAGTCATATTTGCTTACAGAATAAATGGGATAACTCAAGTCTTGTAAAAAGGGGACTGTAGTCACTGCCCCCTCCTCCAACCCCCCCCCCCCCACCTTCCCCCCATAACTGAGCAGAAAGGTAACAATGAAACTTGCGAAACAAATTCTCTTTCAAGGGCCGGGCATACTTCACGCGATTTGGCAATTTGCCAGAAGCCTTCAGATACAACATTAGCAAACTGCACATGCACAGTGTGTATGACTTACGTGGATTAATGAAATGCCCTATCTACTGTACATTCAAAATGTGCTTACAATAAGTTATGGACAGTTGGGATATTGCCAAATCGCGCGCGACTAAAATCGCGTCAAGTATGCCCGGCCCTTCACACTTCAGATTCTACTTTGCCCAGCTTTATCGCTGCATATCCATTAGGCCTAAGGCATACCTCGCGCGACTCGGCTAAATCGCGACGTTCACGCGAGCTGGCACTTTGCCAGATGTCTCCAAATTTACCGTGCGCGGCCACACAATACATAAGTGCGTAGCTTCTGCGGTTTTTTGCAAACCGATCAAGTCCTGCGTTAACAAAGCGCTCTGATGACCCATTATGAACATTCGTTCCGGTACCAAATCGCGCAGCGACTGAAATCGCGTGAGGTATGCCTTAGGCCTTATTCGCTCGCAGTCGCTTTCATGCTCAAAAGATTTGCTTAGTATTCCAGTTTTTCTCAGAGGGAAAAATCTTGGGAAAATCCATTAACGTATGAGTTTTCTTGTTAGAATAATGTGAGACTCTTGAGAAAATCGTGTAGAAAAAAATCGTGCTGGCACAATTGCTCGTTGAGAATGAGTCAAATTAATGGCCTCAATGCAGAGAAAATGAAGCACACTCTACTGATTTTTTCCTACTTCTTTTGAATATTTATTTCATTTATTTATTTCTTTTGAATATGAAACCTGCTTCCTCCCGATCCCTGTCTATTCTCCTCCTTTTTACCCAGACATTCCATATGGGTGTCATATATCGTCGCCGATGCGCTGTTATCGAAGCAAATGTTTACCACTTCACACCACGAAAGTTTGCTCTTGAAATCCGCTTGTAGAGCATTGTGTTTGTGCATTCACTAGTGTAGTATTAGGTTGTAAAGAAAGTTCCCGGGTAGTTGTGGAAAATTCTTTTCGTTTTTTTTGCACTTGGTTGAATATTAACTACAAATATTTCATATGATTCTATAGAAGAAAGCTTAAGTTTCTAAGCTCGCATCCAGTTTTCATAGACGCCAAACCGCATTTGATCTACACACCAAACAAAGAAATGGGTGCAACAATGAAAATCTCAATTTTTTTCTTTTTGCTGCCACTTCGCGATGAACAAAGAAAACCGTTTAAGAGTTGGCCACTCTGAATGAGGAGGCGGAATTAAAGCTCACAAACTTGTCTTTAACCGTACTTGTTTTCGCAGTTGGCGTCAATTTTGTGGGAATTGCCACGCCTTGTTGTTGGGCCCAAAAAATGTGCAAGATACCAACAATGTTTGCAGCAATCAAATATTTGATTTGTTCCATGGAAAGAAGAGAGATTTCAAACTCATTTACTCAAAAAATGGGGTATTTTTAGGATGCAAAAATGGCCGATTTTTCAATTTTTTCAAGAAGGCTATGCTCTAAAATTGTGACACAGTCTATAAATAGCCCCAGCATAGTTACATAACTAACGGATATGAGCTTTCCAGCCCTCCTCGTGCCTGAGAAATTCCTGCACTAACAGACCGAATTTTAAGTCGACCATTTTCTCTGCCCATGCTGAAGACCCGAAAAAATGCTGAAGACCCAACAAAATAGGCATAACTTGTAGACAACATTGCCTTCGCCGCAAAATTTGCAGCTCTCACAAAGGAGCGGTCTGCTTGAAGTTATAGTCAGGGCCTGGCACCAGCTGGCACGGGGCAAGCTGGATATCGTTTTTGGGGCAAAAAGCAAAGGGGGTTTCGTTTTTGTGGGCGAAGACATACGCAAAATTGGCGGCGACGACCTTTTTTTTTTTTTTTTTTTTTTTAGTCGACGTTTCGTTTTTTGGGGGATTTTGGGGATTTTTTTTAGGATTTTAGAGGGGATATCGTTGAGGATCAAAGGGGACTTCGTAAAATTTCCCAAAAGTCAAGGGGGACTTCGTAAAAATTGGCAAATTTCAAAGGGGACTTCGTTTTCAAAATTCCCTGGTGCCAGCTCGTGCCGAGCCCTGGTTATAGTAGTTTGAGAGAAATTTTGCTAATGCCCGAAAACTTTCTTTACAACTAACAACCTCCTATTCGAATGATTGAGGAGTTCGAGGGTGTAGTAATGTGCACATTGACATCTGCTTACACTACTCCCATCTTTTTTATCTGGGACATTTCTAGCTCGATTTTCCACTCTAAACCTGAATGTGCGGTTATTTACTTAGCTAGCCCCATTTCTGCACTCACTTGCTCCCAAGTTAAGGCAGATTTATAGGTCATCTCCTCAAGCTCTTGTTTCAGATTCATGGATTACGGCGGTTGGATCTATCGAATAACAGCTTATCTGCATTTGATATCGCTGCTGGCTGTCTTCGCTCCCTTGAAGCTCTCGATCTGCGAGGAAATAAATTCACTAATGTAAGTTCGCTTCTGAGTAATGCTCAATTTGTTGCTCCATCAAATTTCTAGTGAGCCATATGCTCAGTTTTCTGAACTAATATCTGTGTAAAGGAAGCGTGCAAAGGTGTGTAGTCGCTCAGTTTCTTGTTTGGTTTAGTATTTCAAATAACTCTTACGAAATTACGTTTGGAGGTACTTAACAGACACATTTTAGATACCCGTAGCACTATGGGACTCACTGGAATCACTAAGCACTCTGGATATCTCCGAAAATCCACTAGATTGTGACTGCAATCTACAACCTTTTGCAACCATTGCTAGACGAGAGAAGTACAGTTTTGTGAATCAGGTAAGGTACTTTTCGTTATTTGACGAGTTTTTCTGCAGTATCACACATTAGAGGTGCGCATAAAAGTGTACAGTCGAGTAGATTTTCCGCTTGATATTGCGTACTTGCAGGTGAAATGCGGTGATTTTTTTTGTGTGAACAAATAGTATCTATGCCTGTGACGCCGGCCAATTGCGCGCAAAATGTCGGCAATACTGACATGGCTATTTGTTCACACGCAAATTCTACTGCATTTTACCTGCAAGTACGAAATATCAAGTGCAAAATTCTACTCGACTGTATAGGCTAGTAAAATTGGTAGTTTATCGAATGGCCATCACCGCATTACCGCGACTGCGCACATGAAATAATTACAGAGCGCACATTTTCAAGTTTGCGTCCCAGCCAATTGTCCACGCGCAATTATTGCTGGCACCGCAGCAGCACTAAAAAGCGTCAATTCTATACCTATAAGCCGACTAACAAAATTTGTGCTCTAAAGGAATCTCGCTCTTGCTTATATGAGTTCATTTTTTCAAGGGCAAGACCATTTGCGTTTCGCCTCCTCATCGTGCCGGACAGAACTTATTTGATCTCAAAGAAGATCTCTGCAAAAGCAGAGGTTGGAGCATTGGAACTTTCATTTTGCTCATTGCGATCTCCGGAGCAGGTTAGTCAAAGGTTTTCCAAACTTCCCAAGCTACGGGCAGTTGAATAAGAACCCCCATTCAACACTATTTTCAGCTCTTTTCGCCTATCGCTACTACCGTAATCGGATATACAAGCAGCCAATGTTCCAATTCGGTTACAGTGGTCTCGACAGTAATGAGGACGCTGTTCGACCGGAATTTGTTTGACGTTAAGTGTTATTTATCTGTAATTAATGGTGTTATAGTGATATCCCGATGTGCCTAAATCTGCTCACCCTCAATGTTAGAGAAACTTTAGATTTTGATGTGTTTAGCTTGTATAGATCTGTATCACATTGAATTAGAGCTTTCAAAGTTTGTAGCCTCGGTAAGAAAGAGCGCTAAGTAAAAATGTGACAAGTATGCATCAAGTGAAAGCTACAGTTCTAATGAAATTCGAGATAATTATATGTTGTCTCATAATAAAGAAAACAATCGATTATCTTGTAACATTCCGAATAATCAGTCAGTCTAGGTTCCCGAAAAAAAACCCGAATGTGCCCTTCATTTGGCTCAACTGTGTGGTTTCAGTTAAGGGCTTTTGAGAAAAGCGCGATTATCTGCTGAAATGAGTTATGTTGCTCCGAAAAACAAGCTCATCCTGTGACCAACAACGCGACAACCATTCAGAGCTCCAGCAATCAATTCTTTTACAGCGGTTGAAACTTTATTCTCAAAACAACTCGAGCTGGGAAGCCGTTTTGTAATAGGCACTTTGCAATGGCGGACCCAAGGAGAATTGGAAGTAGGTCTACATGGGTTACAAGAATGCGCAAACTATTTGTTGTTCTTTGTAAATAATGAATTTCTGAAGATTTTGCTATAAAGTTCCTTAAAGAATTATTTTTTGATGCAGCATTTAGTAGTGAAGGAGAACATTTCAGTTTGATTGGTATAAAATGCTGTACGAGCTTTGAAAAATAATGTGAGGAGGTAAAGCGAATATTTTTTTAGTATATGCTGGCAATTTTGCCACACTGGTGTTACGCGTTTGCTAATTTTCAAAAGAAAAAATTGGTTAAAGTAAATAATAAAGGATAAAGGATTCGGCGTCTTCAGTAGCCTCTGCTGGCATGCGCCGAACGCACACTACTTCGTGGTCGAAGAGGCATTGTATGCGTGCGAGCCTAATACCTGACTTGCGGCCGTTTACCAACTCAGCGCTTTTATCCTCCCAGATTACTCTGGTACCAATTTACCGGCCCCGGAGGGTAGAGGGCTTGGACGACCCAGGGGCGGGGATCGAACCTGCGTCCGATCTGATCATAACTCATACCACTACGCCACTCGTCCCGGGTTAAAGCTAAGTAAAGCCTATTTGATTTTAGATTTTGAGACTTTTTTTCTTCTTTCCCAATAGAGAACTTTTTACAAGTCACTTACATAAGATATACAAATGAGCGAGTGACTTGCTTATACTTGTAATTAATCAGATAATTACTGAATCGAAGATTCAAGTTAGTCTTTTTGTAAAAATAGACAATTTTTAAATTTTTGACAAATTCAAATGGGAGAGTGCATATCGGGGTTATAAGCGCATCCCAAGAAATCTGCAGTGCGTAGTTGTCGCCGCGCACCTTTATTCGAAAGTTACTCTGTGCTCACTCCCCACCCCCCCCCCCCTCGCCTTCAAACGGAAATCAGGAACGGTGAGTGGTATAAACGAGAAATTAGAGGCATTAGCCAACCTATCTATGCGAATACAGCCCTCAGAAATCCTTGATATCAATTTCAACTACAAATAAATTATAAACACAGTCTAAATGTTGAATGATAACTTATTCGATCAAGAATCTGGCTAGCGCACGTGTAGGGAGGGCGCGGCTTGCAACGTATAGAAACGAATTCTTGGGCACTAGACACTAACAGCTTATGAACTAAGCTCCTTATACATCAAAAGTGTCGGGGTTCGAAACTTCCCGCGCCCTTTCTTCACAGCAGGTCGTATGCAGCTGGTGGTCGGCGAAACGCTAGCCACTACCGCCTTTTGTTTGGACGTATTTGACTGCGAGATTACCCGTACACGTTGTTTTCGCAATGCGCACGATTCATCCGAAACGTACCCAGAATCCCCGAGGTTTCTGATTGATTTTCCAAGCAATGCTTGTGACCTTTTCCTAGCTACTTCTCTTTCTATTTTGCCACCATTACCTCTAAACTCAGATGTACCTGTTTTCACCAAGTATTCATCTCAGTTTGTATGAGTTCATTATTGAATTTCTTGCATTTATTAGTACTGTGATTTTTTTCAAAATATCTAATTCCTTGGGAAACTCCCAGTTCAACGCCAGTAGGTACTGTTTGCTGGTACATGAGTTCTGCTGTTCCACTTTTTTTTTCTGAAAATCATAGCTTCATATAATTTCCACCGATTTGCATTCTTAACACTATTCAAAAGAAGAAATCATGAGCTGCGCCACACCACGACTTCTACAAAAAAAGCTTCACATATAGAAGCCGAGAAAGACAACTTTTGAGTTTTTTTTTTTGGAATCAAGTAGAAAAACCTAAAAGATACAGTATATCCGGAATAATATCAGGTCTCGGCACGAGGTGGCTTTCCCAAAATGCAAAACTATTGTCCCCTTGACTTTCGCTAACTTATGAAGTCCCTTTTGACCCTAAACCCTAAACGTAACAAACTTTAAAAAAGCGAAACTCGAGTAAAAACGTGAGCTAAGTTGTGCTTTTTTTAGGCCTCAAAAACGATATCCCATCTGCTTTTTGTCCCAGAAACGATATTCAGCTTACTTATGAGCCACCTGTGCCAAGCCCTGATAATTATCAAGATATATAATCAATAAGTGATAAGTTCTATAATCCACTTTATTGAGTAAGCAAGTTGGTCCAAAGGAATACCTATGAGCAGAATTTTGAAATTCGAAGAAAATGCCGAATTTTTGATTCTTCGAAAATAGAAATATAAGTTCTCCAATAATAGAGATATGATAGTGATTGATTTGTTTGGACAGTCTATATCTTTTCCATCTACTTCCCACGTAGTTCAATACGTATTATCATAACAAAAGAAGATTGTTGTTGAATCAGATCATTACACCCTTTGAACCGATTGATAACTATTCGCACTCTTTGACGTTTTCATTTTGTCAGAAAATAGCTCTTGCTTTTCTTTTTCTTCTTCTCACTGCACCATAAGTCAAACACTGCTTTGATGCAGGTGTATTGACATTAAATATGGTTAGATTTTCGATATGTTTTGTAAGAAAAAAATTCTACCAATTTTTGAAAACTCATTGATAAAGGCAAACGAAATGTGCTTGTTTTCCTAATGCATGATAGCTATCGTAGATGTCAAACTGAAAAAACTGTTATAAAAAAGACAATAAAATCAAAAAGACAGTGATATACTGCTCTTTGTGAAGCAACAAGGCATGGCAGATCTTGGACCCAGTGAACTTGCAAAAGCTTGTTTAAAATTTTGCATTTTTCAAATTCTACTTCTCACATAGAGAATGAATTATTAGTTGCTCCGGTACATGAGGCTGCTTCTAGTAAAAGATAAGTTTTTAACTTCAATGACCGATAAGTTCTCCAGCAGTGGCACTGCAAGAAAAATTTTGTAGGGGAAGGGGGCGGGGGGGGGGGGGGAAAGAAGTTTTTCGAATGAAGAGGTGTCAAAACTTTTAGGGAGCTTTGCAATATTTGCCATATCCCAAAAAATTTCAGAAGGAAATTGTTAGAAAAAACTATTACAAATATACATAAAAGCAAAATAGGCGAATTCATCGGCAAGGTTTCTGTAGAGCATAATGTATGCAACAAAGTACAAGCATTTTTTTCGACATCCAGATCAGTGAGCATTCCGAAAAATGCTGAGCAAGCAATTCTTTATCACTTTCATTAGATACGATGAGGTCAATAAGTTGACATATTATCTTACGTGTGTATACGTTTCGCATTTCAAAATAATGGAGAGTTGAAATACTTCTGAATTATCACGGCTTATTGTTTGTTTATGAGCTCAATAATTTTGCTCTCCCTTCCTCAAGATTCAGTGTCACTTTGACGCAAATATTAATCTCTTCCTCTTCCTGTCTAAAAGAAACCAAAAGACTGATAACGATTCAACAATTCTCAAGGGCGGGGATGGCAGAATTAAGTGATTAAAATTGACTTTAGCGACGCTTCCAGATTTGTTCAAGACGCTTCCCAAATTCCAGCGAGCTTATAACAATGAAGTTCTGAGTCATTAATACCTTTCAAAAAAAAATTCCGTTGAGGTAGCAACACCCCAACGTTTTTTAAGCCACTTATACTGGGTAAACGAGTCACAATTTCGAGTTCCATAGGCCACTTTTAGAGCACCACCGTTCCTGCTTTCATTTCGCGCTGTTTAAAATCTAGTGTGTCCAAATTCAGGCGGTCTGACTAGCCAAAGTGAACTGAAAGAAGGTCCATATCTCTTGGAAGTTTTCCTGTTCGAAGTGTGAATATAGTGGTGGTCATAATTCGTTTATTAGCTAAACAAATGATTATATACTGGTTTACTTCAAAGAATTTTCTCGTTTCATGGTTTTTTTTGTTCGAGCAAATGCGAAATTTACTAAGTATAGGTCATTATTTGAAATCGTGAAGACCGATTTGATTGCGATCTTTGCGCCCACAGGAGCTGAAACACTCATACAAATGGGCATCTTCTCAGCGCGCAGCTTAGCCACTTCCAGAGTCTAAATACTATCATACGTAAGCAGAAAAACCATTCAAGCACATAAAGATCAAAAATCAAGAAACTGCGGCTGCCGAGAATGCGTGCATGTCGCGCGCGGTCAGCCATCGTCACGATTTTCCGAATGTCCTATGCAGATCGGGAGCGCATTAGAGGCACCGTATCCTAATTTTCTGCTTTTACGTTTTTATGATACATGGGCCTGTGCATGGTCCTGATTTTGGATACAAGATGCAACAAGTGATATACACCAAAAGTCACCCTTCTAAACCCTATTCTTGTCCACACCTTATACACACAGCCATATATTCTGAAAACCTTAACTTTGGGAATGTACAGTTGAATGGATTTTCCGCTTGATATAGTGTGCTTGCACTGCACGTAAAATGAAAATTTGCGCATGAACACATAGCCACGCCAGTAATGCCGCCATATTGCGCGCGCAACTGGCCGGCGCCACAGCGTAGCTACGTCTTCACGCGCAATTTTTACCGTCTGTTTGCGGTGCAAGCACACTATATTGCGCGGGGAATCTCCTCGACTGTAAATGCACAGCCCTCACTTGAGAAAAAAAGCGTTAGAAGCGAAGCCTCTGATGCTAAGGTTACAACCACACCAAGCATACTGCCACAGCATTGGTCTAGCAAATGCATTCCATAGTATTTTTCGAGCCGAGACATGCGGAAATGGAAGATTTATTAGAATTTCTTCGATGATGATGATATACCTGTTCACCGACTACACCG